TTCAGGTATTATTTCTTCACATAAATTTTCTGCCCCTTTTTCTCTTTCTTCTTCTTCTGGGACTCCTGTAATACAAATGTTACTACATTTGATGGAGTTACTGAGTTCCCTATTCTCTTTTTGCATATTCTTTTTTCCCTCTTTTGTTCACCTTGATTACTTTCCATTACTCTGTCTTCTAGGTCATTAATTTGTTCCTCTGCTTCTTCCAGCCTGCTGTTCATTCTTTCAAGCATGTTTCTCATTTTGTTTTTTGAGCCCTTTATCTCTGCTTATTATTCCTTATCTCTGTGTAAGACATATAAGACACTCATGTCTTCCACCTTTTCTCAAGTCCAGTGAGTATCCTTATGATCATTGCTTTAAATACTCCATAAAACATGTTACTGATACCTGTTTCACTTAGCTCTCTGGCTGTGACCTTGTCCTGTTCCTGTTCTTTCATTTGGGATAAATTTCTTTTTTTTTTTTTTTAAAGATTTTATTTATTTAGAGAGAGAGAGTGCATGTGAGTGAGTGCCAGGGGAGGGGCAGAAGGAGAGAGCAGACTCCCTGCTGAGCAGGGAGCCTGATGTGGTGCTCAATCCCAGGACCCTGAGATCATGACCTGAGCTGAAGGTAGATGCTTAACTGACTGAGCCACCCAGGCGCCCTCTTTGGGATAAATTTCTGTCTTCTCATTTTGTCTACATCTCTGCCTGTTTCTCTCTTTTAGGAAAGTCAGCTATATCTCCTGTTCTTGAGGGTAATGGCCTTCTGAAGAAGAGGTCCTATAGTGCCCTGCCATGTAGTCTCCCTTGTTCCCCAAGATCCGGTGCTTCTGGGAGTGTCTCCAGTGTATGGTGTATGTGTTCTGCTGTTTTGTCCTGGCTGCTTTATCCTTCAGGCCAGTTATCTGGAGAGGCTCTCTTTGCCTGTTGTGGGCAGTGTTTGGTCCCTGCCCTGAATGTGGTACCTTTTAACCAGGTGTGCTCAGACTGCTTGTGAAGTGAGACCTGTCACCACTGCCAACAGAACTACAAAACTGTTGAGTCGGGGCACATGGTGTGAGCAGGGGTTTGGGCTGGTCTTCTGGGGAAGGGGCCCTGCCATGCTGGGACTGAGGCAAGCATGACTGGGAGGGGCAGTTCCGCTGCAGCACAGGGTTGAGGGGTGCTTGGTATAAGCAGGTTAGGTAGTGAGTGTGGGAATAGTGCTGGTTCCTGCAGGTGGCCCTGCACTTATGCTGAGGGGTGGGGGAGGGAGATGCATATATATGGCCAGTTCCTTTGTTCCCAGAGTGGTCTCTCCATGAACACTGCCTCTCTGGGATACACTCCGAAATGAGTGAATAACCTCCCCACTATGTGCCCCGGGTGCTCTTCAGATCTCTGTTTCCATTCTGTATGTCTGCAGGTTGTTTGCTGGCCTTCTCTCTGAGAGCAGCACAGCCCCCTCCAGGCTCTATCCCAGCCCAGTCCACTGACCTTTAGAATTACAGGCTTCAAGCCCCACTGGTTGCCAGAAGTCACGAAATTTGGCCCCTCTTACTTTCTAAGCCAGTTACTGTGGGGATTTGTTTTCCCCCACTCTCCCCTGTCATTCATCCTTGTCTGTGACCCTGGCTTCTTCCTCATCACAGCACAGGGATCCATTTCTCTCCCAAGCCGCATGTCCACACTTCCTACCTTCTGGGTGACTTATTCTCTACCTTTAGTTATGAAGTTTGTTCTGCCAGCCTTCAGGTCAGTTTCTGGGGCATTTAGGATGATTTGAAAGTTATCTAGTTTTGTATGTGGGACAAGGTGAGCCTGTGATCCTCCTACACCACCACCCCCATCTTCCAACCCACTGTCTAAGATCAGTTTTCATATCAATTTATATTTGACCCAAGACCCGTCCAGAATGAACACCATCGAGTGTAGCTCAGGCAGGACTCTGCACTTGAATATGAAGATTCTCTGAGTTTCTGTTTCTGCTGGAATTCTTGGAGAGCATCTTTCCTAAATTCGTCTTTCCTTCTTGAATTCCATACTATTTGTAGTTTGCTACACACACAAATCAGGTAATTTCTTAAGGAGAGGAACTGTTTAATTATGGTTAAGAAGCTGTGCTAGAGTCGGAAAGCCTGGCTCTCAATCCTATATCTACTGAGATTGACTTTGGACAAGTGCGCTTCTTTGTACTCCATTTGTAAAATCAGGATAATTGTATGTATCCTTTGGGTGGCGACCATTAAATAATGCACATAATGGGATACGTACACCACATGGTATATGAGCACTCACTAAATATTATTACTGGCATTGATTATTATGGGAGTGTGTTTAGTGATGATATAGATGTAGGAAAAATCCAATTGTAATCTCTTCTTTTAGGATAAAAACATCATTCCCAAGATCCTAATTCTACATATTCTCATTAGTATACTGGAGATAGCCTCATGAGTAAATTGTGGATGTTTTGAAACTAGAGAATCCTGGTCCTATGTCACTCTTGGTAACATGTTGGGTACATTAGGAACATGTTCATTCCTCTAAGGCCCTGAGGTACTTCTGAGTGCTTTTCCTGGAGAAAAATTAACTAGCTGGTAAGAGGTAGTAACCCACACAAAACACAGAACTTAAGTTCACAAAATATGCATGATGAAACCAGATCAGGTTGGACTGGGAGAGACTGAAAAATCGTAAATAAAACTTCCTGAAGAGGAATAGATAATGATCTGCCTTCCTGCCTGAAATGCTGTATGGCCTTTAGTAATGTAACGTCTACCAGGACAGTATTTTGTCTGCTACCTAGAGACCATTGACTATGGTAGCATCCCTCCCAGAATTACCAGGGATCTTCAGACAGAAAGAAAAGGGCTGAACTAACAAATGAATTAAGAGCACAATGTGTGCTGTGTGGAAGCCCTTAGTGAATGTTAATTATATCATCTATAGTTTACAAAAATGATTTCGGTAGTGGTGTCAAGTTTGACCTCCCCACCCTTCTCTTTGTACTTCTGCACAAAAATCTCAGAGTTACTGAAATTAAGTAATCTCGAATGACTTGAGATTGAGTTAATCTCAGATGAATGCGTTTGACTCTGAAGTATACGATCTACTCATCCTGTTCACCCCGATCCACACTCTTAGTATAGGTGTTACACAGTGAGATGCTCTTCTCTCCTTCAAGAGGAGAGAAAAAAGCCAAATGGAGCAGAGAATTTGGTTAATCCACCAGCCAAGGTAAGAGATATATCAGGTGTTTAATTATTCTTGAGATATATTTGCTACCATTTATATATATATATTTGTACTTTCGGAACTGAGCATAGACTATTCATAAGATACAATAAAAATCTAAAAATGGCTAATATTTTAGAAGACGTTTTGAACTTGGTTTTGCAAATATATGAATTTGTATCTAACTTGGAATTCATTTTGATCCAAGGAAGACTTCCTTAGATTTCGTTGAATGCTCTTTCTGCTCGGCTTCTCCCTATACTAAAAATCAGTAGCTCTCTGAGTGATGTGTTATCCCTAGCCAAAGTTGATACGGTTCCTAGAAACCTCTGTGGACCATGTACAGTTAGAGTTTGTACTTCAAAATGCTTTACTGGTAGGGTTTACATAAAGATACATGCTGTGATCTTCCAAAGTTAGGAAACTAACTAAATACTAACTGAAATATTTATGGACTCTAATTGTTAGTGATCTGTAGCAGAAGATGGCTGTCTCTTTTAATTAGTCACCAGAAGTTGTTAGAAAAATGCCTGAGCCTTTCTGTTCACAAAACCTCTTGAGGGCTCACTGTTGGCAGAAGAGTTAAATCCGTATTGATCATATGCACTTGATTGTAGAAAGATCTTACTGGTAACATTTCCAAAAAAATTCTAATTGCCACAATTTAAATTTTAAGAATCTTAAAACATAAATGTTTGTTTTATTGCATTTGAGTTATACTTACGTGTCTTTTTTTTTTTTTTTTTTTTAAACCTAACTAAGAGCTAAGGATATGGGGCTTCAGTTCCTTCTAAATTAATTTGAGGCATTTCTCGTAACGAATTGAGTTATGAATAATTATAAAGGTGATCTGCTTTCTCCTATTGTGGCAGCCTATGCTCAAGATTTTGCACGCTGTGTCTCCAGATGTGGTTTTTCTTTTTCTGTAAGCATGCAAAATGGTAAACAAAGGAGTAATTTTGGTACATGCATAACAGTGTAATATTATGAACCAATTAAAATGCTTACAAAAGATTTTTTAAATAAATCTGAGCAAGGCTGACAGATTAGCTAATAGTACTGTGTTGATGTTTATTTCCTTATTTTGATCATCATACATTGTTTATGTAAGAAAATATTCTTGTTTTTAGGAATGTGGGCTTTATCCAATGGTAAAAGGCTGATCTTGTCTGCAGCTTCCTATTTTTTTTTTAGTATGGTGGTGGTGGTGGTGTGCACCCATGTGTGTATGTGTATGTATGTGTAGCAGGGAGAGAATGTGATTTTAAAGTTTAGGTGGTAAAATTTGGGGAATCGGGGTAATAAGTAAAGTTATTTGTAAAAAAAAAAATGATACTGTAAACAAAAGAACAAGATATAAAATCATTTTCCTCAGCTGTATAAAAATAGGATGGAAGGCAAAAATGCCAAACTATTAGATTCTAGCCTCCTGGGTTTTTTTAGACATTTCTCTTCAATTTTTCTATTATGAGCATCTGTTAGCAGTATATCCCACAGGGCAAGGATTTTTGTCTGTTTCATTTCCTAGAAATGTGCCTGATCCAGAGTAAATGTCAGATAGATCTTTTGCTGAATGTGTGGATGATTAATTTGAAAATTGGTATTTGTTGAATATGTACATTTTGAATCTTTAATAAACTTTTTCCATTTAAAATTTAGGAAGTAGAGAGAAATACCATATTACACTGACTATGACCTTAAAAAATGAGGTCCCCCTCCCGAATTAGAGACTAATCCATTGGAAGTTAAAGTAAACTGATAATAAAAATTTTTTTTCTTAAATTTCCTTAATAGATTCTTCAGTTTGAAGATATCTTGGCTAGTACTTTCTACCGAGAGCACTTTCGAGTATACATGGAAAGGATGGACAAGAGAGCTCTGATTAGTTTTTGGGAGTCTGTGGAGTATTTAAAGAGTGCTAACAAGGTAGTACATACAGCATCAAAGGAATATGAATCACTAGCTGATGAAAACGTGCATGTTAGACACTGTGTCTGTTTCTCAATGAAGCTGTAAGATAAGTATACATTAAAGACTATTTAAAACCAAATATAATAATGGAATTATGTTCTAGCCGCTAACAGTAAATGAAATTAGATTTTATTTACAAAAAAGATGCTTTTGAATGTGTAGTCAGGGAAAAAAAGTGACTTATAAATGTACCAAAATATTGAATTTATTTTCAGGCAGTTATTTTTTTAACACATTATAAAAAGACTTATATATATATATTCACATCGCTGTTATAATGAATTGATCTTGTCATCTGCACCTCCATCTCATAACCTTGTTATTTTAATATCATCGTGCATATTTTACACAACTGTTCTCCTTTTATTTCATTTAAAATATGATTGAATTAATGGGGCTTAGGTGGTCCAGTTGGTTTAGTGGCTGACTCTTGGGTTTCGGCTCAGGTCATGATCTCAGGGTCCTGGGATCGAGCCCCACGCTGGGCTCTGCGCTCAGTGGGGGAGTCTGCTTGTGGATTCTCTCTCTCTCTCTCAAATAAATAAGTAAGTAAATAAATAAATCTTTTTTTTTTTAAGATTTTTATTTATTTATTTGAGAGAGAGAGAAAGAGAGAGAGCATGAGCGGGGATAGGGTCAGAGGGAGAAGCAGACTCCCTGCTGAGCAGGGAGCCCGATGCGGGACTCGATCTCGGGACTCCAGGATCATGACCTGAGCTGAAGGCAGTCGCTTAACCAACTGAGCCACCCAGGTGCCCAGTAAATCTTTTAAAAAATAAATAAAATATGATTGGATTAAGAAACACAAAACATTTTTGGTTATAGATGCCTCTTACAATGAAAACTCCAACAATAAGCATTGTGTTTTGCACTTGGCAAGGTCTCAGTACATTTAAGGATTAAAGACTGAAATATGTATGTTTATATGTTATATGTATAACATATACATATATTTTGAGAGGCTTATTAAAATAAGCACAAAGGTACATTAAATTACTATTTGTACTTTATATGAGTGTTGGCAGAACTGAATACCAACTTAAAATACATCATAAATCACAAACTACCTTGTTTTCTGTAAAAGATTTTTATTTATTTATTAGAGAGAGGGAGAGAGAGAGAACATGAGCGGGGAGAGGGGCAGAGGCAGAGGGAGAAGCAGACTCCCTGCTGAGCAGGGACCCTGATGTGGGTCTCCATTCTGGGACTCTAGGTTTATGACCTGAGCTGAAGGCAGTTGCTTAACGGACTGAGCCACCCAGGCGCCCCACAAATTACATTGGTTAAGGAATTAAATTCACTCTCATAGTATTTTTAAATCTTCTTAGAAATGCTTTTCATTGTTAATTTGTAAGCCACAAATTACCTCATTTTACCAAATACTGTTTTTGCCTACTTTATTATATATTTTATTTACTAGACTTGATTCCAAATGACTTCTAGCTGTGCTCAAAGGAATATTGCAAACAGCAATCTAAAGAACTTTTCTAAACTACTGAAAACAATTTGAAAGATTTCAGTGGAATAGGAGCATATAGCTTTGTCCAATGCAACACTATTTGACCTGGCAGCACTGATTTGGATGTAAAAGTTCTGGGATGTTTGTTGAATTCACAATCTTCATTTGTTAAATTGTCTTCATTTTTTAAAAATTTTTATTTATTTTTTTTAGAGAGAGAGTGTGAGCAGGGGGAGGAGCAAAGGGGGAGGGAGAGGGAGAGGGAGAGGGAGATAATCTCCAGCAGACTCTGCACTGAGCGGCAGAGCCCTAAGACCCAGAGATCATGATCTGAGCTGAAACCAAGAGTTGACGCTCAGCCACCCAGGCGCCCCTGTCTTCATTTTTCACTTCTGTTGAAGACTTTGTGTAACATTCCTGGAGTTAATGAGATGTGTCTAGAGGAAATATAAATATTATGTTAACCAGAAGAGATACTGAATTTGCGAAGCAGGCTGACTGTGACCTAAGTGTAACGTTTAAGACTAAGCCGTCTAATATAAGCTTGATTATAATGCAATAAATCATCATTCTGAAAGAACATTTTTCTTGTTTTCTTAAATTATACAATACTGACTTTTTTTTTTTTTTGGAGTGAGAAATGGCACTTCCAATTATTTATATTAGATTTTAAAAAGCCAAATTGAATTTAGCTGATATTTGAGCTGTGGAATTCAGATTTACGAGGAGGAGTCCATTGCAAGAAGAGAACTGTTGTCATTTTTCTCCTTCCAGCATTTCAAAGAAATTGCATTTGTTAACTGTTCAACTGAAGTGTTCATTTTAAGGAGCCAGTTGTCTTTTGAGGGTCTCACTCTTACCCCTCGGTTCTGAATGTGCACACGGAAGCCAGAGAGCCACCTGGTACCAGTGTACGTTCCACGCCTTCCTTCCAGCTTTGAAATGTAGAGAATTCTGAAGATACTCCGTTTTGTCAGGGATGAAATTTCTTACCTTTCTTGTTCTTCATCCTTCTGTTTTTCAGAATGAAATCCCTCAATTAGTTGGCGAAATTTACCAGAATTTCTTTGTGGAAAGCAAAGAAATATCTGTGGAAAAATCGCTTTACAAAGAAATCCAGCAGTGTCTTGTAGGAAATAAAGGTATTGAAGTGTTCTGCAAAATCCAGGGAGATGTTTATGAGACCCTAAAGGATAGGTATTACCCTTCATTCATTGTCAGTGACCTATATGAGAAACTGATGGTAAAAGAGGACGAGAAACATGCCTCACAGTTGGTTTCCAGCAAGGATGAACTGGTGAGTCACCTTTCACTTTCTCCTCCCTTCTCAGTGGTTAAGCTTCGAATATGATCTGATGGGCTCATACTGTATAAGCCGAATTTGGTGCGCCCCTTCACCTTTTAATGTACAGGACCCTAAGTGGAGCTTACATACGCCTCCCCTTGTTCTTGTCAACAGCTGACTACCACCACCTGCTGTTGAGTCACAGACCTCACTGCCCCCTCCCTACCTGAGACACACCCCGAAAACGCGAAGGCAGAAAGCCTATGGGGTGGGACATTTGTGACTTAGGCCAGGTAAGAGAATCCATAGAACTTAGTGCGGCCTGAGAATAGTCGAAGAGTGGGGAAATGAGGAGAGAAAGAGAATGTGGGAGGAGTTACAGGAAATATTTTGGAGTTTAAAAAATCAGATGTAAGTAAGATGTTCCAAAGAAAACCTTGCTCAGCCACACCTGAAGTCTAATTTTCTTAAGTGTACTGTCATTTAATGGGAGAACCCCAGTTGCCACCTGTCATGTACTATTAATGATTTATGTGAGTTTTAAGGTTTATGAAGATGCAAAGAAAAACAAAATGTTTTAAGTCACCCTGTATGGAAAGATGATAATTTATCTTGGGTTTTTTTCTGCCCAGTGATTTCTCAAGCCTTGAGGAATCAAGTGCTTGCTCTTGATGGTATTTGAAGTCAGTATCTGAACTGTTTTTAAATTCATTCCTTCAGAGTTTTTAAAAGATTTATTACTTAGTTCTTTATATTTTCAGTGTATAACACCACCGAACTGGTCCAAAAATCATTACTCATTGCATCTTATTTTTTAAGATAGGTCAGTTTGTTTAATTTTAATTATTTATTTATTTATCTATTTATTTACTTAGTTATTGGTCAGTTTGTTTTAACTGTGTTATCTCTCCCTCAAAAGTTAAAATGGTTAATTTGCAAATGCCTTAAAAGAGGTTATTCAAATTGATTAAAAATGTCAATACCCAACAGATAAATTGAATAAGGTCTTGAACTGACAGTTGATATGAAAGGTAAACAAACATGAAAAATTATCCAACTTCACCTGGGACTCAAGAGTAATACGTATCACTGAGCTTTTGAAAGCTCCTACTCTTTTGTAACAATAATCCTACTTCTAGAAATTTATCTTAAGACAGTAAGTAGAAAAGTTTATGTATCATGGAGTTTGTTTTAGTACATTTGGGATAGCAAACCAGCAGAATCAACCCAGAGCACGAGCAGCAGTAGGAATATGTCTTAGTGTACTATCCATTGCTAGGATACTATACAGCCATAAAAATTATAATTTTGAAGTCTGTAATTAATACCTTCAAAATAAGCAGCATTGTAAATTATATGGAAAAGACAGAATACATGTCTATGTATACAAGGTGTAGAATTATGTCATGATATGTACATTCATGGACAAGGATTTGAAAGAGCTGACAAAAATAAAAACAGCTTGTTTTTCTAGGATTATTAATACTTCATTTTTGTTTGAAAAAATTACTGTTACAATTACTAAAAATTAGAAGAAAAAATTCTGGAAGAACATTAAGGAGTATAAACAAAGCAGAAGACTGTTCTCAGCCATTCTTTCCAGTGCCCCGCACAAATCTGTTTTATATGCAGTCTGTTGGTAATCTATCCAGATTTTTGAAAGTTACACAGTTCTTTATGAATCTTAAGTCACTTTGAAATGCTAACCATTTTACTTGTAAAATGATCTACCTGTTGATTTGTAAAATACATCTTCAAGAGAAGGACTGAACAAAGGGTATACCAAAAATACTTTCACTAATAGGAATTTGGAAATTTTATTTTAAAGGGACTCTCATGAGTTTTCTGTAATATTCTTTGGAGCCCGAAAGGAAGCCAAATGTATCTCAGTGTCTTTGTCCAATATTAGGCACAGATCATTCGGGTTGAGCTGGGTGCAGAACTCAGTTGCCTTCCCTTGTTCAAGCAGATTCCCTTGGGTGTACCATTTGGAAGATAATGGTATGGAATCCACCCCATGACCTCATCTCCACCTTCCACCCGCTTTTTCCGGCTATTAAATGTTTCTTTTTTCACTGCAATCCTGAACACCAGTTACTTTGGTTCCAAATAACTTTGACTTGTTACTTTGCTGAGGCAAAGCAGCCTGCTCCTGGGTTGTTACCAGAGTCTTTCCTTAGTGGAATCTAGTCCTTGGGCACAGTGTAATGATAGAGAACCTATGCACTCGGTAATAATGGCTGACCAGTCCAGCATCAGAAGATAGTGTGGTTCTCCCATCCAAGTACTAACCAGGCCTGACCCAGTACCTGCCACCCCAGTCTTAATCAGTGGTGGAAGAACGGTCTCAGAACTGTTTGTGTCAATTGGCCATTTAAGTTTAATAGTAAAAGATTGGTTAATGATAATGCATCGTAAAACCTTCAGAAGGAAAGGAGAATGTTTTGTGGACCATTTGTTTTGTGTGTGTGTGTGTGTGTCAGTTTTAAGTTTTTAGTTTTTAAAATCAGTACTTTTTAATGGAAACAACTTGACCAAAAATCTGTCACAGAATTTTGAGACCCATTAAAACAAAAGTTTAATGAGAAAAAAAAAGAAGAAGATAGTGTGGTTCATGTGACTTTCTCCCCCAGGGCCCGGGAGTCGAGGCTGGTGAGGAAGCTATAGATGAAGGCACCAGCCGGATTAATGAACAAGCCAGCTTTGCTGTAAACAAACTACGAGAACTAAATGAGAAACTTGAATATAAAAGGCAAGCTCTAAGTTCTATTCAAAATGCACCAAAACCTGACAAGAAGGTAACTCTTTTGCTTTCAAGGTTGTCTTTGAAAGTTTCCATTTTTCCAATTTGATAAATAGTTTTCAGTTTATGTTGCAAAGCATCACAGTTTCCTTAAAAAGAATTTTATCAGTAAGTTCCATTGTTACATTTTTGCTTCTAGTATAGAATGAGAAAAGCACTTGTTTTTAGCCTTCAGTGGTCTGGGGTTCTCCCCCCCACCCCCGTCATCAGCGGTGAGTAGCTCTGTTCTCTCACCTGGCTTGCCTACAGTACCTTTGCAGAACAGAGCAAAACATTTCCTTGTGTCAGATTCCTTTCTGGAAGTAAATTAACTCCACGAGGACAGTCTTTTCAATTTCATTTTTCTTTCAAATGCTGTGAGTCACAGTTTAGAGAACCTCAGAGAATTACGCAAGAAGTAGATGGTTTTGCTAAAAGCCAACAGAATTGGAAAGTTTAAAAAGGTGAACAGCATCTCCCTAACTGGCATTTTGCGAACCCCAGCAGTGGTGTGGCTTTTTGCTTTGTGGTTATGCCTTTTCAGAGTCCAACAGGGAGGCATTTCTAGTATAGCCTTGGCCGATGCTCTTCGGTCTGCCAAATTGATCTCCTCTGGCAATTTCTGAGTGCGTGTTCAGCAACATAAGTGATGAGTAAATGCAGGAGGCTGTGCCGGTCCCTGTGGGGAATCAGTGATATACAGAGCCTGACATGTGCCCTTTGGGAGCAAACATGGTGACAGTGGGACCAAAACATACCCACATGAACATGAAGCAGAGAGTCTCAGCCCTGACTGATGATAAAGTGCAGGACAAGGTTTAGGCTGGGAGTGCTTCCTGTAGGCTTTTTGAGCAAGGAAAGAGTCCTTGTAGCCTTCATGTTCAGGAGACTTTCGGAGCAAAACTTCTGCCCTCAAACCACAGAGTTACATATCCTTATAGGATTTCTCATGAAAGAGATCCATAGCCTTTTTTTTTTTTTTTTAAATAAAATTACTTATTTTTTAAAAATTGTTGCAAAATATACATAAAATTTATTACTACTTCAACCATTTTAGGTTGTCAGGTCAGTGTCTGTGTATTCACACTGTTTTGCAACCATCACTACTATCCATCTGCAGGACTCATATGGCAAAACTGAAACCCTGTGCCCGTTAAATAATACTTACCATTCCCCGCTCCCCATCCCCTCGCAACCACCGTTCTACTTTCTATCTCTTACAGATTTAGCTACTCTGAAATACGTCATGAGTGGAGTCATACAGTATTCATCCTTTTGTGACTAGCTTATTTCACTTAGTATAATGTCTTCAGGGTTCATTCATATTATACTGTGTGTCAGAACTTCCTTCCTTTTTAAGGCTGAGTGATTTTCCATTGTGTATGTATATAGCATTTTGTTTATCCATTCACCCATCAGTGGACATTTGGTTTGCTTCCACCTTTTGAGTATTGTGAATAATGCTGCCATGGACATGGGTGTACAAATATCTTTTCAAGATCTTGCTTTCACCTCTTTTGAGCATGTACCCAGATGTGGAATTGCTGTTTTTAATTCTTGGAGGAACCTCCATACTATTTTCCATAATGGTGGCACCATTTTATACCTTCTCACCAACAGTGCATGTAGTTTCCAATGTCTGTAGATCCTCACCAATAATTGTTTTTCAGTTTTTTGATAGTAACCATCCTAATGGGTGTGAGGTGGTTTGAATTTGCATCTCACTAATGATTAGTTATGTTGAGTATCTTTTCATGTACTCTTTGGCCATTTATATATTTTTTTTGAGAAATGTCTATTCAAGTCCTTTGCCCATTTTTGAACCAGACTGTTTGATTTTTGTTTTTAAGTTTTAAGAATTCTCTATATATTGGGGCGCCTGGATGGCTCAGTCGTTAAGCATCTGCCTTCGGCTCAGGTCATGATCCCGGGGTCCTGGGATCGAGCCCCGCATTGGGCTCCCTGCGCTGCGGGAAGCCTGCTTCTCCCTCTCCCACTCCCCCTGCTTGTGTTCCTTCTCTCGCTATGTCTCTCTGTCAAATAAATAAATCTTAAAAAAAAAAAAAAAAGAATTCTCTATATATTTTGGATGTTAATATCCTATCAGATATGTGATTTGCAGATATTTTCTCCAATTCTGTGGGTTGCCTTTTTACTGTGCCAATAGTATTCTTTGCACAAAAGTTTAAAATTTTTACGAAGTCTAGTTTTCCCATATTTTCTTTTGCTGCCTGAGCCTTTGGTGTCATAGCCAACAAGTCATTGCTAGCCCAGTGTTACGAAGCTTTTACCCTATGTTTTCTTCTAAGAATTTATAGTTTTAGCTCTTATGTTTAGATCTTTTATCCATTTTGAGTTAATTGTTATATAGGATGTTAGGTAAGGGTCCAACTTCATTATTTAGCATGCCGATATCCAGTTTTCTCAGCACTATTTGTTGAGGAAATTGTTCTTTTCCCATTGAGCGGTGTTGACACCCCAGTCAAAATTCTTTGACCATATATACAAACGTTTATTTCTTGGCTGTCTATTCTAGTGCATTGGTCTACATGTCTGTCTTTATGTCAGTACCATACATTTTGATTAGTATAGCTTTTTTTTTTAAAGATTATTTATTTATTTATTTGAGAGAGAGAGAATGAGAGAGAGCACATGAGAGTGGGGAGGGTCAGAGGGAGAAGCAGATCCCCCGCTGAGCAGGGAGCCCGATGCGGGACTCGATCCAGGGACTCCAGGATCATGACCTGAGCCGGAGGCAGTCGCTTAACCAACTGAGCCACCCAGGCGCCCCTTGATTAGTATAGCTTTGTAGTAAGTATTGAAATCAGGAAGTGGGAATCCTCCAACTTTGTTCTTTTTCAAGATTACTTTGGCTATTCAGTCTCCCTTGAGATTCCATATGAATTTTACAATGGATTTTTCTATTTTTGCAAAATACATTGGAATTTTTATAGGTATTGCGCTCAATCTGTAGATCACTTTGGGTAGCACTGACATCTTAGCAATGTTTAGTCTTCTAATCCATGAACATTGGAGATCATTCCATATATTTCTGTCTTCTTTAATTTCTTTCATCAGTGTTTTGTAGTTTTCTATGTAGAAGTCTTTCACTACCTTATTTAATTCCTAAGTATTTTTTTAATTTTTATGCTATTGTAAATGGAATTTACATTTCCTTTTTGGATTGTCCATTGTTAGTGTAAAGAAATGTAGCTGATTTTTGCCTGTTGATTTTATATCCTACTATTTTGCTGAATTATGCAGCATTTCAAGTGGTTTTATAACTCTCATGATGTTTTCCCTTTGGCAGATTGTTTTCAAGTTGAAGGAAGAGATAATTCTAATCGAGAAAGAACGCACGGACCTACAGCTGCACATGGCAAGAACAGATTGGTGGTGTGAGAACCTCGGAATGTGGAAGGCCTCCATCACCAGTGGAGAGGTAGGTCTGACTGCTTTTCCTCCCAGTTTATTTTAAGAGTATGACTTTATACGAGAAGACTTTGTCCTAGAGAACTATGTTTGAGGGTAGAAAACCTATGTTTGTTCTTGTAGACTGCATTTGTCCTTCCTTCTCCACTGTTTTCACTCTGTCTCACCCATGACTGCAAGCTGTAGGAGGGCTGCCCGGTATAGAACTGATCTCACTCCACTTCAGGTTGTCCTTATTCACTGGAATTGTAAGCAACTTTCAGATAAGGACAGTTAATGTCTCCGAATTGCCATTTTATTTTTCCATTGAGGATTGAAATAAAATGGAAGGCACTATTTGAAATTTGGTGGTGAGAAATTTAAAATTTAAGTGTTTCTGATTGCTTCATTCTGCTGACTTCACTTATTTAAATCTCAGTTGCTCTAAGATCTTTAATAATGAATATTTTTTCCTTTGAATTAAAAAATATTTTGCTGTTCTTTGAGGGATATGGGTAACAGTTTTCAGAATATGCTGTATCCCTTTTGTCTTTGAAAATAATTTCTTTTCAAAGAGAGATGCATATGGGCATTTACATTGTTAATGTGGGCAACTTCTTCATTCCCACCTGCCCTACTATCAGTCCTGTGGAAATCTGGAGATAAAGGTCAGGTCCACACAGATAACGAGATCATGAGTAACATTAGGGTTAATGTTCACACTCTTACTGTGGTGTGGGGCGGGCTTGAAATTCACAATCTTAAGTTCACCTCTAGATTACATAGCAGACAAAGCGTGTTCTCCAAGAGCTACTGTGAAAGCACACACATTACATGAGTGCTTAACCAAGTGCCTCACCAGGTCTGTGGTACTTGGTAGCACTCCCATTAAGGTAAGTTGTAGGAGTTTGCTGTGGCACCTTGGTCACAGAAAAGATAAGTGGACATGGACACTGAGGAGTCCCCTGACCACCAGAGTTCACAAGGCAGTCCCACAGGGAACGTGTGGAAGATGTGTCTGCTTCATGCCAGATTCTCCTGAGTTCTGATCTGGGCTGACTCCCTTACTAGACGTGTGATCCTATGACAACCCGGGGACCCTGTGCGTGCCCTCACCTCCTGCATCCTCACAGTGGGATAATGGTCCTACCTCACGGGCCCCGTGCATGCTCTGGGAGTCTTGTGTCTCTTTCCTTTGCCTTTCTTATTGACTCTTTGTCTCTAATTCGATTTGTGATACTAATTCAAGCTTAAATTCAGTGTGTTTTCTTTTTGTTTTTTCTCTTAATCTATTTATGTTAAGTATAATAATGGCCTGTTCTGAATTGTGATATTGTATGTATATGTGTCTGTGTTAAGGAATTATCTAAGTCGGGAGATAGAGGAAATTACGTGTTTCAATGTAAAATTTCATAAAAATTGAAATCATGGTTTGTTGAATCCAGAAATTGAACCGGGGAAGTCTTTATCCTTTCCTGAGACAGGTTTTGGCATATCTTACACTTGTTTGCTTGCTGTTCATTTGTTAAGATGTTAAGTTTGCTGTATTAGTTTTTTTTTGATGTGTAACAAATTCCCACAAATTTCATGGCTTAAAACAATACCCATTTATTAGCTCACATTTCTGTAGGTTGAAAGTCCAACCCTGCGTGACTCTCTCATTCTCTACTCATTGTGTCATAAGGCTGAAATGAACATACTGGCCAGACTGAGTTCTTGTCTGGAGACTGGGGAAGAAATCCTCTTCCAGGCTCATTCAGGTTGTTGGCAGAACTCAGTTCCATGTGGTTGTGGACCTGTCTCTGCTCTCTTGCCGTCAGTGGAAGCACCGCCACGCACCCCTCTCCTTCATGCTAGCACCGCGTGTGCGATCTTTCTTGCACTTCCAGGCTTTCCCACGTCCTCTCCTGCCACCAGCCCGAGGAATCTCTCTGCTCTTAAAGGGCTTGTGTGATTAGGTTAGGCACACCCAGGTAATCCCACTGTGTTAAGGTCAGCGGTTAAACATAACATAACCTAATTGCAGGAATAGATTCCATGGTATTCACAGTCCCAGGGATGACGCAGGGCATGTACACTAGGGAGTGGGAGATCTTGGGAGATATTTAAAAATCGTGCCTACCATATCTGCTCACCACCCTTTTTGTTGTGTTTGTTTGTCCCAAGGTTACAGAAGAGAATGGTGAGCAGATGCCCTGTTACTTTGTCATGGTAAGCTTACAAGAAGTTGGAGGAGTTGAAACTAAGAACTGGACCGTCCCCAGAAGGCTCAGTGAGTTCCAGAATTTACACCGGAAACTTAGTGAGGTATGAATACTCATGAACACAAGGTGTAGAATTACTAAGCAAGAAGATACATAAGAGCTCATTTCAGTTTTTTACATATAAGGAAACTAATTAACCTTTCTCCTCTGCTGTGGATACTGGCAAAGTGGCATTTTCAGCATGACATTTGGAAATTAACCCATAGACAAACCATTTAGTGTAAATCCTTCAGGACGAAGCATTGTCTGATCTCCATTGAGCCTCATAGAACCCCAGAGCTGAAAGAGGGCTAGGGATCATCTAGGGCCACTGGTGTTTGAAGCTACTAGTTGTGACCTTTTAGTGGGAAGCGAAATCAGTGAATGATTGCAGCAACAGGAAGACCGTGGAACATACTGGATTTCGGCACAAAGAGTAAGGGTCATAAAGTGTCGTGGTTGAGAACACAGACTCGGGAGCCCAGACTGCTTGAGTTCGGATCCTAGCTGTACTGTTTAGTAGCCATATGACCTGGGACTTGTCACTGTGTCTCTTAGTCTCTCTTCTTCATCAGTAAAATACAAATACTGATAGCGCCTGTGTCTCCTATCTCAGAGTTGTTGTGAGAATTAAGGGGATAAATGCATACACAGCACTGAGAAGAAGGTGTGGCACATAATAAACGTTATGGTGGTGGTGGTGGTGGTAGCAATGAGCACTGTTTCCTAGAACCCCTTAGTTTTATAGGTGCGTTCTATTTTATATGTGGGTATGCATGTATGCGTGTGCGGGTTGCAACACAGCATGTATTTCCTACTGTAGGTTTTAGGTAGAAATGTCAGAAACCTTCTAATCTAGGTCAGTTCTTTTATTTTAAGAGGAGAGGAGCTGACCCCAGAGAGTTTGATCGATTTATCACAGGGCGTGTTCCTAGTGGCCCAACCTGGACTGGAGTCCGGGCCACCTTATTTTCCATTCCTTATTCTTCCATCTTTCTCAGGAGCTGCGTCCTCTCTAGCTCCTCCTCCTAGAGATGGCAGCCCTCCTCCCTGGCAACTGAGACTCTCTTTGGTCACTTCTCCTCTTGTTTCTGTTTATTGTCGTCTGGCTCAGAATGAATTGATGCTGGTAAAATCCTGCGGTCACCTATCAGACTGCTCTTCTGCCAGTGAAATGCATCTGTTTCCTTTAACATTTTCTCCTAAGGGGATTTTTTTAAAATCCCTTTAATCACCAGCTTATAAATTCTATACCTTCTTCAAGTGATTTTAAAAGGATGGTGGGGGCGCCTGGGTGGCTAAGTTGGTTAAGCGTCTGTCTTCAGCTCAGGTCATGATCCCAGCGTCCTGGGATGGAGCCCCACATCGGGCTCCCTGCTCAGCAGGGAGCCGGCTTCTCCCTCTGCCTCTCCCTCTGCCTGCCGCTCTGCCTACTTGTGCTCTCTATCTCTCTGACAAATAAATAAATGAAATCTTTAAAAGGATGGTGGCCAAAACCAAGTGTCCTACTCCAATACTTCTCAAAGGGACTGTGGTCACCCTGGCAGTGTGGAAAGCGAAATCTCTCTCTAAATAGAAGATTACATTTTCCCCAAAATGTGTGAGTAAAATAGACACTACGGAAAAGTGTGTCGTTTGCCCTGTGACAAACCATTGTGAAGCCGAAGTTTAGTATCCATCCAGTTGCTGATAAAAACAGGAGGAAGGAGAAAAAGGAATTTAGAGGAGATTTTGAAATAAAATGTATGTGGAAAATGTTCTTTGAAAATAAAAAAAACAAGTAGACTGAAGCCTTAGAGGAAGTAAACCTTATAAAATTCCATGTCTGTCTCATTTTCCTTATCTGTAGCTGATCCTTGGTGTTCTTTCCTTACCGTTAGAATTTACTGTCCTGTGACTTTTCGTTTTTGTGTGTAAACCCTTCCTGCTGAGAGTTGGGACAGGAGGCACCTTTTCAGGTCACTGGTGAATTTTATTCTTCCCTTCTGACTCTCACTGCCTGTTTCATTTCTTGAAAATTATACCCCAAATTTGAGCCCTGATTTATATGTTTCCTTGGGCACATGCCATTGTACCCCTGGTTCTTCAGTGGGCTGTGTGGGAAGGGCTAGTTTTTCCTTTCCCAGCACCCGAAGCACCTGCATGCCCTTGTTACAAGCGACTTAGCCCATGCCATCTCATGCTGTGGACGGGCCAGCAGGCACTCCTGTGACCCTCCTGTGCACGGAGGGTGATGCCAGCAGTTAGAGCGGTCGCAGGCAAAGGCTGTGCTCGCTGACTTTTCAATGCCTGTTGGTTTTATTAAGCGTATTCATGTGACCCCAGTGCCTTCATGAAGGGCCAGTGTTTGGAAGTGGGGCCAGAGTCCAGAGCATTTGGAACCCACTGCCCTCCTAGGGTCTGAGAGGCAGACTGGCAGAGTCCTGTGGGAATTGTCATAAAGAACACAGACTTTGTGGTCAGATGGATCTGGGTTTTAATCCTGATCTTTAATTGTCTCATATGTGAAATAGGAATAATAACAATTGCCAACTCTTCGAGCTGTTATTTCATGTGCCGAGCTTCTAGCACAGTGTCTGACAGAACGTAGGACTCGATCCACAAAGGATCTGTTATTATTTATTAATACATTATTATTAATGTATTTCCATTGTGCAGTTTGCCACTGAAGAGCAGTAATAAAGCGGCAAGCTAAGTTACTCCTTCTTTCCATTGTTTTATCAACTGGGATAACTTTTTCACAGAGATGTTATAAACAAAGCACATTCTAATAGGAAGATTTTCTTCCTGTGAGCCAGGTATCCACACCTAGAGCCTTGTGCTTTGTGCGTGTTGTGCGAACCCACCTGATCAGCCTGGCCTCTGCATTGCCCAGCTCTCAGGCATTCAGGGGCCTAGGGATGAGCTTTAGCTTTTTCATCAAATGTCCCGTTCCTCTCGATTCCATGAGCCTGATTAGAACAGGCAGGTTTTCAAGGTCTTAAACCTCAGAGGAACAAGTACAGGAGGAAGATACTTGGTTTGTTCTAATTATAATTCTAAACTTTTTTTTTAACATGAAAATGTGATTCGAAATGCTAACATTTAATGTTTTCCTCCACAGTGTTTCCCTTCTTTAAAAAAAGTCCAGTTGCCTTCTCTTAGCAAGCTGCCTTTCAAATCTATAGACCACAAGTTCATGGAAAAGTCAAAGAATCAATTAAATAAGTTTTTACAGGTAAGCAATTGAAAACTTTTTGGATACGAGAGGAAAAATTAGTTATTTGGGGTTAAACTGTCATCATACTAAGAGCTTGCTTGTTTGCTTCCTGGTCTTAAAGGTCATGCCAGGTCCTCAAAATGTCTTTGGTTTGTTGGTTTCTTTGTTTATAATTAAAGTATACTATACACACAAAAAATAAAATATAAGAAGTACAAAATATGTACAATACAGATACCATGTGTGCAGCTTTGTCCTTTTCCACACACTGAGCCCGCCCTGTAAATAGCACCCAGGCCAGTACGCTCCGGCTTCTTTCCCGTCACAGCCCCTGGCCCAGGGTGGTCACGATCCTGACTGACGACTAGCCACACAGATACAGTTGTTTCTGAACTTCCTATAAATAGAATCATGCAGTATGGACTCCTTTGTGTCTGACCTCTTTCACTCAACAACTGTGTCCAGGGGATCCACCCACAGTGCTGTTCTAGTTGCAGATCATTTGTTTTCACTACCACGTAGGTTTTTCATTGTGAGAATACACTACAGTCTATTCATCCCATTGTTGACGAGCATTTGGGCCATTTCCAGTGGAGGCTATCATGAAGAAGGCTTCTATAAACGTGTAGTACTTGACTTGTGGTGAATCTGTGTTACGTCTGGGTTTCTTCATTTGTCCAAGTGGTTGTGGCAGTTTTTACAGTCCCCACAGTGTGTCGGGTTCTGATGGCCGCCCCCCGCCCCCGCACCTCCTCTTCTCTGCCTGTTTCTCTTTAGTCCTGGTGGGTGTGTGCTGGGGTCTCCCCATGGTTTCAGTTTGCATTTCCCTGATGGCGAATGAAATGGAGCACTTCATTACTGGCCACTGGGATAGCTTCTCTGGTGAAGTGTCTGGTCAAGTTGAGTCTGCTCTTCTGTCCATCTTTTCCACACTGCTTTGTGGGAGTTCTGCATGGGATTTGGATGTGAGTCTCTTGTCAGACCATTTATGTTGCAGATATCTTCTCCCTTTCTGTGGAGGGCCTTTCCACTCTCTTAATGATTTCTTTTCATGAACAGAAGTTCTCAATTTTAATTCAGTCCAGTGTATCAATTTTGTCTTTTATGCTTATGTCTCTGTGCCTGTTAAGAAATCTTTGCCTCGGGGCACCTGGGTGGCTCAGTCGTTAAGCGTCTGCCTCCGGCTTGGGTCATGGTCCCAGGGTCCTGGGATCGAGCCCCGCATCGGGCTCCCTGCTCCGCGGGAAGCCTGCTTCTCCCTCTCCCACTCGCCCTGCTTGTGTTCCCCCTCTCGCTGTGTCTCTCTCTGTCAAATAAATAAAAATAAAATCTTTAAAAAAAAAAAAAAAGAAATCTTTGCCTCCCCCAAGGTCCTAAAGCTACTCTCCTAATTTCCTGTAAATGCTTTATTGTTTGTTTTCAGTCCATTTTTAGAGACTAAGGCCAAACATATACTATCCTTGATAGTAGCCAGTATTTATTTTTCCTTCGCTGGGCCCTCTGTATTCAGAGGATAGTTAAGTTACTCAAACCACGTACGCTTGTAGTTTTTGGAGGCATGGGACTTTGCCTCGTGAAACACTTTTTGCCTATGTAGTGGTAGCTAGAAGTCCTAGGATTTTAAATGATGGATGTTGCCAAATTCTTAGTGAAGGCTTTATTAAAACATAGTTGTTCACTCAGAAGTATGGGTCATTGTTGGGGCGTCTGGGTGGTTCAGCCTTCGGCTCAGGTCATGGTCCCAGGGTCCTGGGATCGAGCCCCGCATCGGGCTCCCTGCTCGGCGGGAAGCCTGCTTCTCCCTCTCCCACTCCCCCTGCTTGTGTTCCTCTCTCGCTGTGTCTCTCTCTGTCAAATAAATGAATAAAATCTTAAAAAAAAAAAAAAAAAAGGAAGTATGGGTCATTGTAAAAATAGATTTAAGTCAGAGTTGCTTTGAAAGTGTTAGTCTCTTTTTTCCACCTATTCCTATCTCCCCCCTCATATATATATGTTTGTATGTGTATATGTATCCTAAAGTTTTTCTAAGATGCAAATTATTTTATTTCCTGAGGGAAACTTCTATTTTATAATATAATAATACATAAATATGTGTGTGTATGTAATATATAATATAGTGTAATATGATGTAAATTTCCCTTAGGAAATAAAACAATTTACACCTTGAAAAACTCTGAATTTAATTATGGCAGAACTGCATTAGAGAATCGTCAGTGTTTAAATGCTCTTACAAGAGAATTTGAAACTGAAATACTACCATTTTGTTGCTGATTCAAAATGTCAAGGAAATGATTAAACCCACTCCAACACAGTACCTGCTTAAATCATCCGGATGAACTAAAGATCTCATTTGTGAAACAGATGTGTATTGCTCAAAATCCAGGATTTTTAAACTTCAGGTGTGGAGGTTTGGAACCCTGCAGCCGACTCTCGTTTCCTTCCAGTCCTCTGCTACTGGGGCGGCGGGGGGAGGTCTCCATTTATTTGGCCTTTCCTGTTGCCTCAGATACCACACTCTGGGCCTGGGCTTTTGGGGGTGCAGAGAGGGTGCACATGTGCCTTTATCGGATTGTTGGTTGTGGAAGTGGGTTAGTGAATTCTGCTGTTGTGCGAAGAGAAACCGCACTCCGAGACTCTGCCAGTAGGTCATGTGGACATAGCCGAGAGCGAGAATAATCTGCAGCTTAGCCAGATGAAACCGTGTGTCTAGTGACCTTTTGTCTTTTTAGTCAAGAGGATTTCAAGTCAGGAAGTAATGGTTTGGATTGTTTTTCATTTCCTCAAGGACTGTTTGATAAAGCCATAACCATTGAATGTAGTTAGGTAGGTTATACAGCAGACTGTTGTTTGAAAGTATTGTCCCACCAACCACAAACAGGAAGAAGGTGCAGAATGCTTAGTCTTTTATTGGGTCCACAGGACCTTCCAGAAAAAGGGATTCCACTGAGTGTATGTTTACTTGAATGTTTATTTATAACAAATAGTTCCCTAGTGAAGCATACTGATTGTACAGATATTTAATAATCTAGCTACTCATTCCTAGCCATACTGTTGCTTATGTCTTTCTTCATTCGTGCTTACCACATTCCCCATTCCTGCTCCCATACTTAACACCACCTACCCCAGCTATTCCCCTCCGGTGGCGCTCTGTCCTGCTTCTGGGTATGCATGTGCTGTGTACTCTTCTTGGAATGCCTTACCCCTTTCTCCATCACCCACTGAATAGTCATCTGAGATCTTTACCAGAATAGAATAACATGCTGTAAGTGTTTGGAGGGGAGGAGCTGGGAATGGGATGCCATCCCCAGAGAGCTTAAAAATGATAAAAACCCCAATTATATCTTGCCCCACAGACAGCTGAGAGAATTTCTAACTTATTGTATGTACTTAATTTGATTATTTTCCTTCATAATAGAATATAATTTAGGCCAGAGTCTTATCACCCTTAATGATCACTTTATTTATGTTGATTGTAATAAGTTTGAGACTTATCATTAGTTATCATTTCCTACTATTTTATAAAATAATGCTGGAGTATAGATTAGCTAAAGGAAATCAAGTTGGGAGGATATCTCCTGCCTTCTAATCCATCTGCACGTATGCCTGAACATTTGATTCTCTGCAGAAGGAACGAAGGCCTATCTGTTGGGCTCCAGGGCTGGGGAAGGCAGTAGTGACATCAGCTGCCCACCCCCTTCATCTCCTTCCCTCCACCTGAGGCAGGACTTGCCCATGTTCAGTCCAGTCTTCTGCGGGACAGAGGAAGCTAACAACCCCCGGAACGTTGGTCGTCCCCTCGGAGCCCCTGTCCCCAGGGTGCCAGTCCTGGGTGTTCTCACGGGACCTTGTGCTCCCGTCCGGTCATAGAGTTCATTGGGTTTCTGCCTTCGCCTGAACAGATGTAATGTGACTGTCATGGGCCAAGTCCTCTGAGACTAGATCTTAACCTCTTCTGCCACCCCAGGCTCTGACATGAGAAGCACGATGTACTCCCAGTGTCCCTCTCCCCCAGGGGATTACATCACCAATGGGGCACTGTTTCCCACTGGTCTCGTTATTCCTAAAGCCTGTATCTTTTTTTGTTTGTTTGTTTCAAGGCTTTATTTAAATTCCAGTAGGTAACATACAGTGTTATATTAGTTTCTGGTGGACAGTGTAGTGATCCAACGCTTCCATACAACACCCGGTGCTCATCACGACAGGTGCCCTCCTCAATCCCCATCACCTCTCTCACCCACCCCCCCAACCCCCTCCCCTCTGGTCACCATCAGTTCTCTAGACTTAAGAGTCAGTTCTTTGGTTTGCCTCTCTCTCCTTTTTCTCCCTTTGCTCGTTTGTTTTGTTTCTTAAGTTCCACATATGAGTGAAATCCTATTAAACCCTGTATCTTTTAATGCTAGACATTTAGACATTCTTGTGGTCATGTTGTTAATCTTACTGTCCTACCGTAGCACTTGCCTGGACATAAACTTAATTTATGTTCTTCTTTCCTATCTCCGGAGGCCAGATAAGTACCTAAAGAACTTGAGGACATTTCCAGTTCAAGGGCTCATAAAAATAGTGCTGTAATTATGTAAGCAAGCTTGGAAGGTGGGAGCATGGGGAGAAAACTCCTGCCTGGTGTGGACAGTGCCGTGTGACAGCTCAAAGTGCCTTTTTTCAGCTGATGTGCAGAGTCTGAACACAGCCATAAAAGGGTGGTTGAGTGGTCTCCTTGTGCAGTGTGCAAATGTGTAAGTTCCAGCACCGCTGGATGGAGGTGAAGTTGACATTCCAAGGCCGTGGTCCCTGGGTCTGTAGGCCATGTGCAAAGCCGGGGATTCTGTTGCGCTGAGCAGCTGTCCACACAGCTTCTTCCACAAGCAGGACGACTAGGGTGCTCCAGTTAACCTGCAGGGGGTTGCTTGCGATTAAAATCATTGGAATTCATCTAGTGTGTTCTGTTTCAGGGGGAGAGGAGAATGGTTTGGGGTTCAGAATTATGAAAGTAAATCCCCAACACAGTCCTTTGCGCCTTGCTTGCCCCTATTTGTGGTGGTTTCCGGCAGCACAGACTTATTCCTCCATAACAGTAATGCACCCTCTTCCCTCCCCAGAATCTGCTGTCAGATGAAAGACTGTGTCAGAGTGAAGCACTTTATGCCTTTTTGAGCCCTTCTCCTGACTACCTCAAGGTTATTGATGTGCCGGGGAAAAAATCCACTTTTTCATTATCCTCATTTTTGGAGAGACTTCCTCGAGACTTCTTCTCCCATCAAGAGGTGAGCTGTTGAAAGGTCATGCCATTTTTGCAACAGATATAGGGGAATGTCTTTTTGAAGGTTTCTTGAAGTTCCAGGTATTTGTTGAAAGCATGCTACTAGTTGGGGGGGGGAAGCGAATACATCTATTTTCAGCTACTATCACTGTCATATTTTTGGGACACCTGCTTGTGCTCCCCTCCACAAGCCACTTGCAAGAGTTAAGATACAGAACAGAGTGATAACAAGGTTGGTAAGTGAAATGTGGGTGGAAAGTTATATGGGAGCCCTGGTAAAAGTGGTGGACAGGCAGTGCCCCGAGATGGGGAGTCATCATTAGGGGGAGCTGGAGCTCACTTTGAAGGTTGGGATGGGAGGGACAGTCAGTAGGTCATTGGACTGGAGAGGAGAGCTTCAGGAGTGGGCTAATGGAAGGTTAGGCAAAGAGGGGAAGTGGGGGACGAGGTCATGCCAGGCTGAGGAGCTCAGCATTAATTCTCAGGGAGTAGAAGGTCATGGGATATTCTGAAGCAAGACGAATCTAGGAGCTACATTTATGGGTAAAGAAGCAAATAGAGATTGCAGACATTGTGATTTCATATTCTGGACCTCAGGCCTTCCTGCAGAGTGAGAAGCCCCTTCTTTGGCTCTTCAGCAAATTGCACAAGACTCTCTCTGAAAATGGGCGTCTCCTTATGGAGATGTTCACTGCCTCCTTGGCATTCATTGTTAAAGGCCCCTGGCTCTTCAGTAGGATCGGTTGAAGGAGTTTGGACAGAAGGAGCTGATGATGAAAAGGGGCATCCTGAGCTGGGAGAAATCTGTGCACAGCACAGAGCACATCCATGCCAGTGCTCGGGGCTCTGTGTAAGCCTGCTTCCCCCACAAGGGTCTCTCCCCGCTCTGCCCTGCAGGCCCGTATTTGTAATGTCTGGCCATGTTCAGTTAGCTTGCCTCCATGAGCTCTCATTTATCCCTGAACCTCTGGGAGTTTCCATGATGGCTCAGTCACTCTGTGAGATCGTTCTCTGAAGGTGAGTGCTGGTGGCCAGACCCAGTGGCTTCCTGTCCGTGTTCAGCTCTGTCACCTCTTTTGCAGCATCTGACGTTGCTGTGAGGTTTTGGGAACTCCTGCCTCTGTGACTTCTCAGCCCTTTCCTCTGCTCCTCCAGTCCCCCGCAGTGCTGTCGTTACCCTATGCTTGGGCGTCGGCCTTAGCTGTTGCCTGTCTGGCCCGTAGAAGGAGCCTGCTCGGCCGGCCTGCTGCTGCCTCTGTTTGGGCCTCTGGCAGCGCTTCACCCGCTTGCGGAAACAGCCACGCGCCTGTTTGTCAGCCTCCCCAGATCGCTGTGGGCCGCTGAGAGTCTGGATCCACGTCACACCTGTTTGCACTAGCCTGGCGCCTGGCACAGAATGAGTTTTGACCTGAAACTTGCTGATACGCTGATGAGGAAGTGAGAGGGGCTGAAGTACAGAACCAAAGCTTGAGTCAGAGCTTTAACATAATGATGTTATTTTGAAATGTACATGTTTTTAAAAAACAGAGCATTTTATTTTATTTATTTTATTTATTTGTTTCTATTTATTTGAGAGAGAGAGAGTGAGAGAGCACGAGCAGGATGAGGGGCAGAGGGAGAAGCAGACTCCCTGCCGAGCAGGGAGCCCGACGCGGGGCTCGATCCCACAACTCCAGGATCATGACCTGAGCCGAAGGCAGACGCTTAACCGACTGAGCCACCCAGGGGTCCCAAAAAACAGTGCATTTAAAATCATTTAAGTTAAAAAAAACCTTACTTGGGGCACCTGGGCGGCTCAGTAGGCTAAGCCTCGGACTCTTGATTTCAGCTCAGGTTGTGATCTCAGGCTTGTGAGATCGAGCCCTGTGTTGGGCTCCAAGCTCAGCGGGGAGTCATCTTGGGGATTCTCTCTCTCCCAAGCCCTCTCTCTGTCTGCCCCGCCCCCCACGCACTTATGTGCTCGCACTGGCTTTCTCTCTCAAATAAATCTTAAAAAAAAAAAGTTAAAAAGCCTTACCTTTAAAATTCAAAATGGCTAGAAAACTATTCTGTTACCTACTAATTTACTCCTTATTAATACAGTGATAGAGGTTTTTCACAATTATTTTAAACCTTGAATAAGGCTTTAACATCAAGCTTTTCCCTGAGGTTAGACACACATTTTGCCCTCTGTTGAGAATGCATTGATCTCTGCATGCAGGAAAGTTGAAAGAGTATTTAAGGTTGAAATGTGAGCACATAGTTTGGAATTTACACTTGAAAGAAAAGGATAAATCTACCAACTTCCTTGGATAAGTGATCTGCTTCCTTTGACCTTTCTGTACCCCCAGGAGGAGACAGAAGAGGACAGTGACCTGTCAGATTATGGTGATGATGTGGATGGGAGGAAAGACGCCTTGGCTGAACCGTGTTTCATGTTGATTGGGGAGATCTTTGAACTTCGAGGAAGTAAGCTTCTTTGTTATTATTTAATGGTAATTGCTGTTAAGTGTTTACACACACACACACACACATACACTCATAATATCCCTTTATTCCTGAGTCAGATGTGTATTTATGTCCATTCACTCAACAGCAAATACTTTTAAAAGCCAACCAGACGGGCGCCTGGGTGGCTCAGTTGGTTAAGCGACTGCCTTCGGCTCAGGTCATGATCCTGGAGTCCCGGGATCGAGTCCCGCATCGGGCTCCCTGCTCGGCGGGGAGCCTGCTTCTCCCTCCCCCACTCCCCCTGCTTGTGTTCCCTCTCTCGCTGTGTCTTTCTCTGTCAAATAAATAAATAAAATCTTTAAAAAAAAAAAAAAAACCAACCAGACACCATGGTAGAATCTGAGGCCACGACCTTAAGACAGATAATCATCTCTGGGTCCTGGGTTACCCTATACCATGTTCCTCTGAATACAGATAGAATGCTTTGAATTTCTTTTATGTGATCTAGCATAGCCTCATTGCTTTATCAGCAAAAGGTATACACAAAATAATTTCGCATAGCCATGTTGTTCAGGCTGAGGTTTTGGTGCTGTTAGGGTGCACTGTGGTCGGACACACGCATGCCTCGACCTTGCCTTTCAGCTACACCTTTGTTCCCATAGACGAGCGGTTATCACTGGAAGGGCAGGGAATTTTGTCCCTCAGGGGACATTTGGTGACATCGGGAAACATTTTTGGTTGTTACAACTTGGGGGATGGTGCGACTGGCATCTTGTGCGTAGAGGCCAGGGATGCTGCTGAACTTCCTACAATGCGCAGGTCAGCCTCTTACAACAGAGAGCTGTCCTGTCCAAAAGAGTTAGCACCAAGGTTGAGGAATACTACCCTAGTAGTACTTGAGGAAGATGTACTTAGATGAAACAAGAGCACAAACAGGATTAAAATACTCTTGTTAAGACCCACACGGGTGCTTCTCTCCCAAAGTGGTCCTTGGGTGAAAGGTCAAACGGTAATGCTTGGCCAAGTCTTGAGTACTAAATAGGACCCTCTGCCCACACACACCTGGCAGAGCCTCAGGACTAGCTAGAGCTAGGACAGGTGCCTCAAGGCACACCTCACCACCTAGAAGAGGAGGCGCATGAGGGCGTCAGGGTTGGCAGAAGCACAGTCATGCCACCAACCACTGTAAATGTTGCCCTGTGACTGACTGTCCGGTGCTCTGTCTGCTCAGATTAGCATCTCTTCCCTTGGGGTGAGGAAGGTGGGCTAGGACTCGTTTTAGGTGCCAGAATTAATTATTTTGGTCATCAGTAAGCCACAGCTAAAACAATCAGCAAACACTTTGGGAGCCTTTGTTTTAGATATCACTCTGTAGGAGAAACAAAAGTATATCAGATGTAGATTCTTCCTTCAGTGAATTTACAACACAGGGGTTCCAAAAATGTAATTCACGTTAAGCAGTAGACCCAATTCTAAACTACAGGCAGAGATTTATACACAAGGGTGTTCACTTTAGCATGATTTCAGAAACGAAAAGTTGGAACTCAGCTGAACTTTAGAACTGAGGGATAGTTAAATTAAGAAATAACCATGAGAGAATATCATCCAAATGCTAGAGAGGCTTTCAGATGAAAAAGCTGTCCCTGTTCCATATTTTAGACTAAGATATAGACTGATGTTTGCCTTGGTTCAATGTAGGCAGAAACAACTAGTTCTTCGCCCAAAGTCTGACTCTTCCTCAGTGAAATCTGGCCCATTAAATCATGAATCCTCCCTGTTTCCCATAGAGTTGATAAGAATGAGGAAGCAGCATTTTAGCCTTTTGGCAGTGTCCTCTTCGTGATACAGAGATTGAAAGACAAAGTCTTGTCTTTGCAGCGTGGATTTCCTCCACCATGTGCCTGCTCAGAAGCATATTTGGTTTTGCCAGTGACATTTCAGAGGGGAATAAATAGAACATCATTTATAATGAGATGTGATAGAGTTGCCATCAGCAAAAATCCTAGTGTTGCTGCAGCTGCTTCTGTCTCTGAACAAATGAGTCTTTGGAATAAATACTAGGGCTGTTTCCTGTGTGGTTTGGGGACTGGGGACCGGGAGAGGCTAGGAAGAAAGTAGTAAAGGCATATATCAGTGATGAGAGAGAATTTGCCCCAAAGACATTTTTTGGTTCCTGCTCTAGTTCAGTGTACAGAAGGGCATCAGTAAGACAGCCTTTAAAAAATTAACTTTCACTTGTCTGTCAGGCATTCTTCTGATAGCTGTCTATGTCGTCAGACCCTCTGCATGTGAGCTGCCTCACTCCTCCCTAGAAAGCCAGAGTGAAGTTATCAACACTGGCAGGCATGCTCCTCCCAGCCTAAATGCCCGCCTAAAATGAACACGTCTGCATGCTACCAGCATGCTCTGAATTCCATAAAAAATTAAAGGCACTTTTGAAGCATGGTTCTGATTCTAAGACTTGACTCTTACTTGAAAGATTAACCACACTACTTTAACTGGACACTTAGGTCCATCTAAAAAGGTAGAAATGACTTTAGAATGTTTTCAAGTCTGGTGCCAAGTCGGTGTTAATTGTTGATTTTGTTTGGGTGGTTTCCTTTGTACAGAAGGGTTTGTGAATTTAGTCCTTTTAGGTTTTCCTACTGGACAGGAGCCCTGAACTCAGCCAAGCCTGAATTTCTCATTTGCTTATGTGTGAGTAGCTAAACATTTCAATGAATGGATGTGAATTTATATAGGTGGAAAATTTGGTTTAGATTCCAATTTGCAGACCTGAAATATCCTCATAGCATTTCTTTGCCTTCTTTTGGTGTATGTTCACATTCTGGACCTGTAAAGAAGATACCTCTCCATGTTAATAATAACAGATCTGTAGAACCTTTCACAACACTCACATAAAATATCGACAAGATCCATAAAGCAGAAAAGCACATGGTACTCTTGTCTTTGAACAGATGAGGAGACTGAGGCTCAGAGAAGGTGGTTTGTGCCAGGCTGCTCTGCAAGGTGGCCCAAGAGAGCACTGAACCCACCTCTCACTCAGGGTCCTGGCTCTTCGCAGTTCACCTTTCTCCCAAAAGCATAAAATATATAAAAATATGCAGTGATCTGCAACCTACTATCCAAATGGGAACTTAGACCCACACATTCATTTTAATATTTCAAAATATTTGTCAATATTGGACCACAGATGTTTCTCATTCAGAGCAGTGTGTGAGAAAATTGGGTTCCACAAGCCAGACAGAAATCTAAAATAGGCATTGCATTGTCTGCTAACAGAAAACAGACATGTAAGTCACCCGGGGATATGTGAAATAAAGTATTATTTCCACTTGCTAGCTCAGCTGTTGTTGAGGCATTGAAAAGCTATAAAAACTCTTAGGTTTTATCTCCTCAGTTGCTATGTAGAAAATGAAAGCTTAGGAGAAATTTTGGGGGCAGAAGTTTGCGAACCTAGACCCAGATTCTGCAGATATCATAGTCATGACTTGGTGTCAGGACTTGGATTGAGTCAAATGGTAAGATTAATGCTTTTTGCAGCTGTGAAAATGTCATAATTGTGATATACTGTGCTAATTCTTTTCCTCTGATTTCTATTTCAGTGTTTAAATGGGTGAGAAGAACATTAATTGCTCTCGTTCAGGTCACTTTTGGAAGAACCATCAACAAGTGAGCTGCGTGACATTAGTTTTTGAATTTTTGCCTTACTCTTTGCCTTAGTAGTCAAATTACTATACTCGTGGTATAGTAGCCGGTGATCTCCCTAGCTGAAGGTTTTGTATTTTCTCATGTTGTTTCTGTGATGATTCTACGATTGGATAGGGAGACAGGTTTCTGAAATAATTTCTCCCATAGAATGCATTGTGAACTAGATGATCAAAGCTTGAGCTAGCTTCAGCATTCTGGCTGAAAGGGTCAGAAAATGCTGTTCTGTAGGGGCACTGGGCTGCCTCATTTGGTGGAGCATGAGACTCTTGTGGTTGTGAGTTTGAGCCCCATGTTGAGTGTGTAGAGATTACTTAAAAACATAAAATTAAAAAAACAAAAGGAAAACCCAAAAAGTTCTGTAAAGTTCTCTTGATCACGATGACCAGTTTGAGTATCTTGGGCACAGTTTTTATGTTGTATGATGGGCATCAGTTTTAGGCTTAGACTCTAACCCAGAATGAAAGTAGGATGAACATCACGTGACAGGTATTTATTTGGAGGGAAATGCAAACCATAGGTTTTTTTTCCAAGTTGGGGTAACATTAAAATGGTAATTGCTCTAATTAGCTAACATCTTAATATCCATCCATTGAGATATATGTGTGTTTCATATAACAGTATTGTAAGCCATATATATATTTGAAGCTATAGTCCATTATCCATATACATAAGAGTTTAACTATCCAGTACTCTTCGAGAGATAAGCATTATGACTTCCTGCACAATAAAAACATGAGTCATTTATGCTAAAAGAAAAGGGGGAAGAAATCACTTTTTTGTACAGCAAAATATTTTTCAAGATGAAATTATCAGATTTTCCCAAGTGAAAGATTAGTTGTTAAAACCATCATAATAACCTTGTACGTATGTTTATCATATAGATCATAAATTTTTAAGGGAAACATAGTGAAGAACAGGTTATTTTCTTACTCGTTCACAAATAGAATATACTGTCCTTGTGGTCATAAGCAAAAGTTTACTTCAATTTCTAAGATCTTATTAGGGGCTTATTTAGTTGACTTAGTATCCTAGGCTTGTGTTTTAATCAGAAATATGGCCTGTATGACTTACCATTTCAGTCTAACACAAACCTCTTAAGTGTTACATGTAGACAGGCCTTAGATAAAGAAAATTCCACAATGGCCCTATATTTCTCAGTACTCCAGACTTGCTAATTTATTTTCCTTTTCGGTTTCAGCAAATCATGCATACTTTCCTTGCTCCTATCTACGATAGGGGCTCTTACTTATAAAATGAGCAGCTGTGGTTTGTGAGCAGTGAATCCATTTGGCAGTTACTTTCATGGGACTTGGAGGAGAGGCATCACGTAGAGGGTTTTCAGGCTGTTCATTTCAATGGGCTTTTTATGAGGTAGAGAAATGATGGAGCACCTGGCCCTTTGCTATTTTTGCCTTTAGCAGAGAGGACACATCATAAAATTAAGCAGCAGTACAATATGTGCCTCTTGCCTTGTACCAACTATAATTTCACATGCCAGAATTGATTCAAAAGCTTCCTATGGTTTTGGCTAATTGAGAATCAGACTTAAATTGGTAGAAAATACTTAGGTGATGGCCTTTTGTAAGAGTCACTTACGTAATTTTAAATTGCAAATTGAATACTTAATTTCTTACTTAATTTCTTGATGTAGTGCCAGTGAGTAACTCAAAGCAAGAGTACAGAAAAAAACCAGGTGTCCACATTTTTTTTAAGATTTTATTTATTTGACACAGAGAGAGACAGCCAGAGAGGGAACACAAGCAGGGGCAGAGCGAGAGGGAGAGAAGCAGGCTCCCCGCTGAGCAGGGAGCCCGATGTGGGGCTGGATCCCAGGACCCCTGGATCGTGACCTGAGCCAAAGGCAGACACTTAACTGAGCCACCCACTGAATTGCCCAGTTCTAAGCAGTATAGGGAAGTATCTTAGGAGACATGCAGGTACAAACAGAATTAACATAGTTTTGATTCACGGTGGAATCAATAGTAACTGATTCCTGTGCAAAGTACTAGGGCTTGAAATCTCTATTTCAGATACTATTTCTGAAAACCTTACATTGTCTCTTTAAATGGTTGGGAAGTCAGATTTTTGAAGGGCTTTTTGATTTATTATTCATGAATTGAGCTTGAAATTTCAAATCTTTCTAGCACTGTCAAGATGATTCTTTCCCCCTTACCCTCCCCCCCGCCAACCTCACCACTGCTGTTGGGCTTTTTGAGCTGTGTTGTCTCTTGACAGCAGAAATCCTAGAATGGGTTAGCATTTTACTAATGACTAATGAGATAGGGTTATGTGAAGAGCTGAATAACCAGATAAAAGCCATTTATTTGTAACTGTGCAAGTCAAATGTCTGCCCAACTTTCATTCCCAGAGAAACGTGGAATACTCTGGATAGCAATGTATCTTTTCAAAGGCCTTCACTTTAAGGTGAAAGGTAGTATCTTGGGGCACGTGGGTGGCTCAGTCGGTTAAGCCTTTGCCTTCATGATCTTAGGGTCCTGGGATCCAGCCCCGCATGGGGTTTCCTGCTCAGTGGGGAGTGTGCTTCTCCCTCTGCCTCTGCACCGCACCCCTCCCCGCCCCGCTTGTGCTCTCTCTTGCTCACTCTCAAATAAATAAATAAATAAATAAAATCTTTAAAAAAGAAGAGAAAGATAGTATCTTTTTTCCCCTTGCCTAGTGAGCGTGTGAAAAGCTTACTCTGGGTCAGAGCACTCTGCCCAGCATGATCTGCCATAGCAACACCAAGAGACAGCTAGTGAAAGAGCCAGGTTCTTCCCCCAAGACTTGAGGAGCTCAGGGAAGCTTCCCAGACCACTTTTAACAGTCTTAAAATGCATTTATGTTTTCAGTTTGTACCACTTCATGGAGAAGTTAGTGTACTAAGTACCGTGCCCAGTTAGAGTAGCTGCAAGCTTCAAACCAGTCGGTCTGCTCTAGGTTCTTGTCCTTGCATACTGCAGGGTACTACATGGCAGGCAGACATTTGGAGAGGTTGGTACCAACGGAAATGTGAGCTCACGCAATGAATGGTCATCCAATACTGCCAAAATGAAAACTACCTTTCGGACCCAGAGTTTAAAAATCCAATTCCTAGTTTATTCATCAAACATTTAGATCAGGCTGTATCTTCACCTACCCATTGATAAATGCCTTTTGAGAACAGAGTATACAACTTCTAAAACCCTCATCCAAGAAATATTTTTCTCTTAAAAGACAAATCCGGGACACAGTGAACTGGATTTTCAGTGAGCAAATGTTGGTTTACTACATCAATGTTTTCCGGGATGCTTTTTGGCCAAATGGGAGATTGGCGCCAGCGACCACAGTCCGAAGCCAAGAACAAAGTCAGGCAGCAAAACAGAGGGCACAGCAGAAGCTGCTTGAAAACATTCCAGGTGAGGCTGGCTTCCAATCCTGAAAAGTAGAGATAAAGAGCAAATGTTAACCCTGTTAAGGCGTTTTTCACTTATAACTCTCAGGAGACTTTATTTACAACAAGAAAAATGATCACACTTTTTTTCTTTTAAAACATGTCCTTTGCTAAGAAATTATTACTGAGAATCTTAAGAACAGTAGTGGTTATAAAATGCTTTAACTAGAAAAATGTTTTAGGGCAGATAATAAATTTTGTACTTTAAAAATCCTGCTGAAGTATACTGTTTAGAGAGGTTAATTTTTAATTGGGTAGCAATGTATTAAAATTGTAGTTTGTATAAATGCCTTCTGTTGAAAAATTCTAAATAAACTTATTTTCTCTTTAAATGTTTGAAAGAACTAATCGTTCATGTTCCTCATGCCCCAGTGCCCTTTATCTGTTGCGTACATATCATGTACTGTCTCCTTCACTGGATATGCATGGATTGTGCACTTTATCAGTAACAGCATACAATGTAAACTTAATCTTCCAGATATGCTTCAGAGCCTTGTTGGACAGCAAAACGCCCGTCATGGTATAATAAAAATATTCAATGCACTGCAAGAAACAAGAGCCAATAAGCATCTTTTATATGTGAGTAATTTAAAGCCAACCAGAGGATCAGCTATTAATTCAGTTTTACGTTTCTGTTCACATATGGGGGTTGATTTAAACCTTTGCATAGTTAATCATTCTTGTTACTTGTAATTCTGAACCCATTTATTTACTCTGCTTCATCTTTGTCTGTCAGTTTTTCAGTTTGGTAAAAGAAAAAGAGAAAGAGTGCTTCCAGCGTGTGCAACTTTCTCATTCTCTCATGTGAGAGATGCATGTGACATTTTTGCATGACTGCTTAATTTTCTTATTTCAGGAAAGCAGACTGTTTCCCGGCCATCTGTCTGATTATAATTAGCAATATTAACTATTGATGATGTAATAATGGCAAAGAGACCATGAAATGAATCAATCTGATATTAAATGGAGTTTATATAATATTAGTTCCATTCATTCGAGAATAGCTTGTTCTTGGAGAATCAACTCAGACCTAAAATGAGACTTTTCTCTTAGACATAAATATTTTGAGTAAATCCTTAGAGGAAAAAAAAAAACACACACACATTTTCCTACTTTTTTTCTTCTTCCTTGGTTCAGGTGCTGATGGAACTGCTGCTAATTGAGTTGTGTCCTGAGCTGAGAAGTCATTTAGATCAACTAAAAGCTGGTCAAGTTTGAGACTGCACAAATAAACCACCAGAGAAATGTCTGTGTAACAATAGACATGAAATACTTCCCTCTTTTCCACAGAGGGCTTGATTGAGAACCATATTGATTTCTATGTTAGTTACCTCCCTCTAGTTTTGTGTGACGTGAGCAGAATTGGTTGGAGGGGGGTACTTAATGCTGTCATAGGCAACAGAAAAACACACTTCTGTTCTTATTGTTTTTATTTTAATAATATAAATAAAGTTCAACATACTGATTGAAATACAAATGTTAATATGTGATAAGAACCTAGGAACTATTTTAAATATTTATGAAAACAGTTTTGTTTTAAAATGAAGAACTATGACTATTGTACAGTTACTTTCCTCACTGAGGACTCTGAACATTCCTGTATTATTTCATGTGTATTGAAGAACATTGTTGTGCAATGCTTTGTGGAAAGTTATCGTGAACATTTTATTGTCTTTATTTTTACCAAAGATTTCCCATAGTTTGAAGCATTTGAAGCAATAAAATATAAAAAATGAATCACTGAGGTGCTTACATCTCAAAAACAAGGTTGGAACACTTTGGGCAGTTCAAATATTTATCAAATACCATTTTTTTTTTTGGTAAAAAGCACTATGTACATAAATACTTCTGCAAGGAAGTACAAAGCTGGCTGCCTTTCCCCAGACACAGAATGAATATGTGAAAAATACGATTTTTAGTGTGAATGAGAAGAGCCAAATTCGTGCTTGAAATGATGTGTTGGGAGAGTGGGAAAGGAGCTGAACTTTGAAGGATGGGCAGCAATGAGATAGGGAAACACAGGTGGGAAGTTACTTCAGGGACACGAGGGACTTGATTTATCATCAAGTCTTGTGGACTCCTCGGGGTGTTGGGTGAGATCCAGGCTACAGGTGTCGTTTTGTTATTAATAGTGGGGCCATGAACAAGTCAATCAGTTTTCACCATCTATTATGCAGTGCTAATAAAACACTTTCCCTTCTGTAACTGCCCCGCCCCCCCAGGAACATTGAAAGCAAAACTAATAGGCAAAAATTCAGTCTGAAAGCCATGAAAGAACAATACTGTATCTGTACTAAAGTGGTATTGATTATGGCATTGCTAGATCTACCTGCCAAGTCCTTGATGTGGAATGTAAGTTCTGAAAGGTAAACGACTGAAAATTAGTAAACCAAATTTTATCTTTGGGCTTCTTTTAGTCACAGCTCTTTGATCCTTTTTTCAAACCAGGATGATATTTGACACGTCAGGAAAATAAAACAACAACAAAGTTGGCTGTTTATATGAATAAGAATCATCCTTCAAAGGGATGTCGAAAAGACACATTCAGATAAGAGAAGCAATGTGAGATCACCGAACCCTGGGAACTCATCCTAACACAGTTACTGGTAATGTCCACCTTACGCGCAATTAAACCACAGCTGTTAAAAGTTTATATTGCACATGAGAAAAATAACTATTTTGAGCCCTCAGTCTTTCTTTAAGATAAATTTTAACTTTTTCATGAGATAACAGCCACAAGTACCAGCTTTATGGTAACTACAGTAAACTGGAATTTTAAATTTTATGTTGGATTCACTGAAGACAGTTAAGCGTAGTGTATCAGCACATATGACACCTGTCAAATTCCTACATCTGGGATTTCTCAGACCTATGTTTTAATGGCAGTTACAACCGTGGGCTTGACTTTGGGATGAAGAAAGACATCTATTTAGTGTGCAGTTAAAGCCAACAAGCACCGCCTTATTATGTTCCTATTTTAGGATTCCTAAAAGCTTACGGGACTGGATTCAATGTGGAGAGAAGAATACTGGCTGGCAATTTAGATCGTCAAATGGTTGAAGGAATATTATATATGGATGGTATTAAGAGAACAAGAGTGAAGCAAGCGGGTTTATATTGTAGAAGGAGATTTAAGCTAGGTATTATGAAATCTTAGTCATGGACTTGATATATCGAACCATTAAGTGGGGGAGAATAGTCTTGAGGAGAGGTTTTAAAAGAAAAGGATTAGTTTTCAGGGATGGTTTAAGTTTATATGTCTTAAGAGATTTAAGGGAGAAGTATGTGGTCCTTTGAGGGTATCACACAGATCTAAGCCTATGGAAACTGCTTTCCTTTATAATAGAGACAAAATGAAGTTCAAGTAATATAGAAAAACCAGAGCACAAAACAAGAACAAGTAATTCTCTGCCATACAAAAACTTCTTTAGTGACTGGTACATGCGTATTAATTATACTAAGATGAGATCTTGTTTAGATCCTCTTCTGGAAAGGATGATTGTGATTTATAAAATAAAGCCACATCAGCTTAGTTATGTCCACAGAGAAGGTGTTATGAAGGTATCTTTAAGACATTGTTTCCAGTGTATCTGTTTGACAGAAGTACACTGCTATATTATCTTGTCCATCTGGATCCTATGATTTATATTATCAACTTTTATCTTCATAGGTCTCATTAATATAAGGAGCCGCTCGCTAATTAAATTTTTAGCACATTCAGTTATGGTTCTTGATAGATGATTTAATTGAGTTTTTTTCACATTTTATCTTGCTTTGAAATGCATCTAAGGTTTTTTAAATCTAGAAAATGAATCTAATCACAAAGAAACATCTTGCTTAGCTGATTATCTTATCAGGAATATAGTTGTGATTTTACTCATTAAGATTTCTAAGGGGAGATGTGGAGAGGCAAGATTCTAAGCAAATTCTTAAACCTACTTTTTTTGAAGTTTATAATAAGTTAACCAATTAATTACCTATAAGAACTTCTCTTAAGAATACAAGATGTCCCAAAAGACTTAGTGCAGTCTTAGTTTTAATTTCTTCAGAAGTATAAATGCTACATGAATTTATTTAAAAACATTATTTGAAAGTTTATTTAAATTTTTTTATTTATTACTTTTGTGAACAAGTGAACACAACAAATAAAGGAACCACAAGGGCGCCTGGGTGGCTCAGTTGGTTAAGCGACTGCCTTCGGCTCAGGTCACGATCCTGGAGTCCCGGGATCGAGTCCCGCATCGGGCTCCCTGCTCGGCAGGGAGTCTGCTTCTCCCTCTGACCCTCCTCCCTCTCATGCTCTCTGTCTCTCATTCTCTCTGTCTCAAATAAATAAATAAAATCTTTAAAAAAAAAAATAAATAAATAAAATAAAGGAACCACAAAATGAAAGAAAAAATTAATAATCTATCCAAAATTCACAAAACTAAGGGTGAAAGAAATTTAAGGAATTAAACTTGCAAGTGGTGTTTTTTATGTTTGTAGCATTTCTATTTCTGAAGGAATTACAGCGAAGACTGCACTAAGTCTTTTAGACACTCTATTTAAAGAAAAGAAAAAGGTATTTGCTTTGTGGAATGGTTTTCCGTATTTGAGGTGATCTAGGCCGGTTTGTAAGCTAAGAGCTAGATCTTTAAGGGCTCTTTTTGCAATCTGATCCTATAGCTAGGTTTCAAGTTGCAAAATTAGAGATTTAAGAACGAAGGTAACATGTCGTCGGTAAAATACCCAGGATAATGTAACTTGGGATTCAGAAGATAACAAAACATAGCTCCTATAAAAATACACACATTCTGAGGTGGTAGGGTTGATGATCTTTGTTGAAATGCATTATGGTCTAAATTCTTTGACGAATAAGTAAACAGTGAAGTTCATCTGCCAATGCAGCATTCAGACGACAAGCCTGAAAGTCAAAGATAAAGAGTCCGTTATTTAGATACATTTTGAATTGTTAGGTCTTACTAAAACTTTAAAAAAAGGCTTTGGTTTGTTTTTAAGAACTACAATGAATTTCAAGGGAATGTCTTAGTTATGACACATTTCTATTTTGATCTCTTGATAAAGGAAGTTCAAATTAGCCTATGCAAAAAAGATCACACTGAAAATAACCATGTTACTGTCACATGAAAGAGAAAACTTTATCAGTGCCAAAGGATAAAGGGAATTTACACACTGATGATAGCGTTCTGGGTTATGAATTATTAAAATAAATAACATGGAAAACATTGGCATTTGGTCTCAAACTTGCTATTATCTTATTATATGAATAGCAGCAACTATGACAATTTTATTTTAAAATAACATTTTATTATGATAAAGTAAATAGCAAGAAGTAATAGTGAATATAACTGCCTAGAACGTCAAGAACTTGGAGGAGACATCGGAGGTTATCTCATCCACACCTGACTCCAGGTAGTAGTTGTCCCTTCAAGACCCATGACAGTTGGTCACTAGATATTTGCTTGGTTGCTAAGTTGCCATCTTATAGGAAAAACTGTTGTTTTTGTTTATTTCCCGAGCAGTTGTATTAGAAGATTTTTCTTTATACTAAGCTAAAATTTCCCTCTGTGTACTTTAGAATCAATGAAGGGGTCCTAGGAGAATATATGAAGCTGGTTTCGTGGAGACCCTGAGAGGCAAAGTAGTTGGCAGTCGCCTCATATGACAGGATTCCAGACCCTCCACTGGCGTGCTACTTTTGAATTCTCTACATTTTTAAAAGCATCCTCTGTAAAATACAATGGCCAAAATTGAGTAATGAGGATATTATCTCCTACAATGTGGAAGATAGTTTTAAGATTACAGTCTGTTTGTTTGGCTGTTTTATTTGGGATGAATATATACCACATTTCAGAATATTTTTGACCCAGAATTTTCTTTGCTTATATTTATTTAGAAAGGCCATGATGGATAGCACAGAATCTGAAATTGACTTGGATTGGAAATTGGTATAATATAGAGCATTTAGATTTTTTAAAAAGTTAGACAGCTGTTTTTCTTACTGGTAGAATGGTGTAGTGGTAAATCTCTCAAACATCAGTTGTATTTGTATACTGTGTTCCTATATTTATGTGTTGATATGGGCTTAATGCTCTGGAAATTTTAATTTTAAACAATTTAGGGTTTCCAAAGTTGCCCGCACATTGGAGTCCCCTGGAAAGCTCATGATTTGATTGTTCTGAAATAAGACCTGGGCTTTGGAATTTTTAAAAGATCCCCAGGTGATTTTATTTTATTTTATTATTTTTTTTAATTTTTAAAAGATTTTACTTTTTTCGAGAGAGAGAGCAAGAAAGAGCACCAGCAGGGGGTGGGGGGAAGAGGGAGAAGGAGGAGCAGACTCCCTGCTGAGCAGGGAACCGGGGTGATCCCAGGACCCAGGATCATGATCTGAGGCGAAGGCAGATGCTTAACCCACCGAGCCACCCAGGCGCCCCTCCCCAGGTGATTTTAATGTAGACAAGTTTGGGAACCACTTCGGTACTATGGTCAGATTCAGGCAAAGGACTTAGAAAACTGTACCTTCCCTTGTTCCCCTGCTCCAGCTAAACAGCTTGTGTACCCACGAATTGCTTTATAAATTTTAAGAAGACATAATTGTAGTTTGGACTTCATGGTGTCATGGACCTAAGGCATGCACAGTTTTTATTGTATTTATTTTTTAAAAAACTTGCAGTTACTATTCATAATGATTCCCCCTTTCCCCACTTTTTAAGTTGCGTGATTTTAGAAGTGAAATTCATTTGGAATCTAAAGCACATGAATTGAAACATGAAAAGTCTTACTTCAGCTGATTTCACCAAACTCATGAGTGAATATTCCTCCTAAGTGTGGTAGATGTCATAGTATTTTTAGAAAAACTATATTTCATTAAGGTACTAGAATGAGAATAGATTCAACACTTCTGGGTGGAAGAAGACATGGACATTCTGGCTTTAAGGTCTTGGTGCTGGGCCTTAGGCTGTAGAGTGGCAGAGTGAGAGGGAATAATTTGCATCAAAATGGGACTTTTATCATCTGAGTTTAATTATGCTAATAAGAATCTGGCAGAATAGGGGCACCTGGGTGGCTCACTTGGTTAAGCGTCTGCCTTCGGCTCATCATGATCCCAGGGTTCTGGGATTGAGTCCCTCGTTGGGCTCCCTGCTCAGTGGAGAGCCTGCTTCTCCCTCTCCCTCTGTGCTCTGCCTACTTATGCTCTCTCTCTCTGTGTCAAATAAATAAATAAAATCTTAAAATAAAAAGAATCTGGCAGAATTGTCTGCAAACAACCCATGTGTCTGACAACCTCTCCTAGACAGGTTATCTGCACAATAGTTAAGTAGGGGAAAAAAAGTACTAAAATCTATAAAGATGTTCAAGTCTTAACTAAAAGCTCAGAAATTTCTATTTGGGTCCATTTATATAGATTTTCAGACTTACTTACTTTAGAATAGTAGTGTTTAGCTGTTGCTTCATCCTTTGTGATACCCAAGCCAAGCTGAAGGCATCTGGCATGGTAGAAAGATGCCATGGCCATGCCCCTGATGATGAATTCCGGGAGACAGTCCGTGACCTGGGCTATCAGGGGGATGTCATGAACCTCATCGTAGTCAGCAATCCTGTTGTGATGTTTAATTGTTGAAATTAAAAAGGACATTGTTTTGGTTTACATATTTACAAATGACATGCTCACAGATTGTCCTTGTGCCCAAAGTGATCTCCTTATTTCTCCCCGTTTGAGGACTAAGTTGTTTGTTATATGGTGAAGGGTAAATATAACAGTTAAAAACCAGGAGAAGGCGAACTACCAGAGTGGTTACGTCACAGCTTCTCTGTGGTAGTACTTGTCAGGCTTAATAACCACTAGAAAACAAAAAGGTTTCTTTTTTTTCTTGTCATATTAATATTTTAAGCTTAATATCACTTTGCAGATTTAAACAATGGGGAAAAAAGCATTTTCTATTTCTTTGGATCATTTATTCAAACATTGACCTGAAATTTGCACTTAAGTCACATAGGATCAGAAAACATATTAAGTAACTAACACATCCATCTTTGTTAAAAAATGGGCGATACAAAGAAGTCCTCCTTTATCACCCCCACACAAGTATGGAGAGTTGTGTGAGAATGAGATCTACCCGTAAGATTATGGGGAACAAGAATGTGCATAATAATGGGAAGTCTGAAAGATCTTAAGAACTGTTTAAAGTCTTGGTGTTCACCAGATGGCTACTTGGAGATTTGGGTCTTTGGGGAATCACACTTTTAAGTGGCCATGACATTGGGGGACGGAGGGTGGAACCAGGCTCTTCCATCCTACGTTGTAGACGGCTGCCCCACCCTGGGCTAGCGAAGAAGAGGGGGGCCAGGAGGTGGCTCCATCATGCATTATTGGGAGGGAAACACAGTAGCATGGCCTTAGAGCCTCTCAAGAGGACATCCACATTTGTTTTTCCTGGTATGTTGCTTTTGTAAGTTATGAGCAAATAAATGTAGGAAAGTACATGGGCTCAGAGAAGAGAAATCTCCATATAATTTATAAGATGTTAATGTTCACGTCTTTTAACCATTATGCTCATTTTACAATCTTTATCAAGCTATCTTGCAATTGTGCAGTTATAGAACATGTGGCTGAAGAGTATAGGAAGAAATTAAAACATTTAATAAGCATTTCTGATATGCTAAACTATGTTAAGTACTTTATTTTTTTTTAAAGAATTTATTTATTTATTTGGCAGAGAGAGAGACATAGGGAGCCAGGGAACACAAGCAGGGGGAGTGGGAGAGGGAGAAGCAGGCTCCCTGCAGAGCAGGGAGCCCAATGTGGGGCTCGATCACGAGACTCCAGGATCATGACCTGAGCCGAAGGCAGACGCTTAACGACTGAGCCACCCAGGCGCCCCTGTTAAGTACTTTAGATACACTATTTTTATAATGCTGTGGAAGCATGTTGTTCTTTATGAAAAAGGAAATCGATGCCCCAAAAAGTTAAACTTGATTAAGATCACTCAGCTGGCATATAGAGCAAATAGAAATCCTGAACTGACGGCATAGAATTACACTATTCAATATGGTAGCCACTAGCTACAAATGGCTACTTAAATTAATGAAAATCCAATGAAGCATAACAGTTGGAGCCTCAGTGGCACGAGCCTCATTCCCAGTGCTCAGTCGCCATCCTTGTCAGTATTGCAGCAAGTTCTATCGAACAGACCTGGCATAGAACATCTAGTAGGAGGTGCTGTAAATACTTCCATCCGGCTTATTTACCTTTTGGAAAATGTAACACACTTAGTAAAAAATTTCATCTTATAGTAATACTCCACGAGATTCCCTTGAGCATAGACATTTCCACGTTCTGCTGCTTCCCGTAAGCACCGCAAGGCGGCTTCAGTATCCTGGCGGATGCCTTGTCCGTAAAAATACATTAGTCCAAGTGCACCCTGGGACTCCAGATTTCCATTGCCACATGCTTCCGAGTGCCAATAAAATGCCTAAGAAAAAACACAATTTCATCTTATTTATTATTCACCAGGCAGAATTATAAGGGAATACTGGAAAGAAAAAAAAATCTCTCATTACAAGATAGTACTATTAATTAATTAATCTCTAGGAAATAGTTCTAGCACCTTGAGTGTATTTCAGGTTAGCACCGATTTCACATACCTAGAAGAGAGTGCTAAGGTGAGCCCACCTGTTTTCTACCTACAATGTAGGTTAGGTCACAGTCTAGACAGTTCAGCTGTCTCAGGATTCAAGATTTTTACATTTTTCCAGAGGAAGGATCGGGAGGGTGGGAAGTAGGAGGAAAGCGTCTGCTAGGCTTTGAGACACACCAGCAATGAGGCATACCCGGAAGAGGAGAGCTGCTGATGCTGAGGGACAGTCAGCTCCAGGGGGATCTCAGAGATGGCGCCAATCGAGATCAGAGGCCACCAGGTTAAAAACTGCATGTGGTCACAAGCACATTTGCTCAATAGGCAACTACAATGAACTTGAATTAGTTAAAAAAATTATTTCCAAGTGGCTGCTCAGTTATCCGAAGAGGGTCTTGGTTGCTATGTGTTTCTTGTAAGTTTAATGCCTCCTACAAGTAGGACTTGGCTCTACATTTCCTTCTCCCTATAGGATTTCTTGGAAAATGCCTCAGTCATTGATGATTAAAGAGATTATATTTCTGTAAAAATCCTAAATGGATTTAATTTGTTGCTACGTTTGTGTGTGTGTGTGTGTGTTGTGTATTTTACTTATTAGGCATCGTTACTTTCTCAGAAAAAATTAATTTTAATTTATTCACATGTAAAAGGATTTGGGCTATATTTCAGGACTCTCAGTTTTCATGGTATAATAATATTTTGTATGTGTGGCTTTTTATAGCATTCAAAATGCTCTCACATCTGTGGACTCTTTTGGTAGAGATGGAGACGAATAAAGCATGAAATGAGCTCTGAGATCCTAAAATGTGAACTTCCTTTACATTTTAAAGAATTATAAGAGATCTTTAAAACTAAATACTCATTCTTCACCACCCTCCATTCAAAAAAGAAATAGTGAAATATTAATCTACATGTGGTGCTAACATTAAAAACAGATCAGTGTTACCTTTTCTAAGTCTTTAGGCTCTTTTGTTGAATAATACAATCCTAGGATACTTTGAGCCTTCACACTAGCTTTTGGATTTCCATTGTCTGCAGCAAAAAGCCACAGTCTAAAAAAGAAAGGCAAGGCAAGTTATTCTTTGTGTCAGCATTTGATTTAAAAAAAATCTTGTTCTCAGGTAACACTACCTTTCAGCTTCCTCATCTGATCGTTTGACGCCTTTCCCTTCATAATAAGCTCTTCCAAGGTTGTAGGCAGCTGCAAATTTTAAGTGTCTTGCTTTGGGACATGGAGAATCAACAACTTTCTTCATATATTCCACTCCTTTTTCCTTCCACAAAGGAAAAGAACAAACAAAAAACCCTAGTTTTTAGTTTTACCCGAACTAAATTCTTTCTCCCAATAATATTTTAAAGTGTTCACCCTCTGACATGACGTTTGATGTCAGGACTTTGTGCCCAGACAGGATGGTTGTGCTTTAGTCTGCAGAGCTGGAAAGGAAGGGGGTGGGGGGGATACATCTACTGAGGAGGCATTCCCAGAGCTCCAAGATATAAGGCATTTCCCTCATTTTATAGCTTCCAGAGTTGCATTATGTTTCAATATGGTTTCTTTTCTTCTCTCCTCCCTCTGGTCTTATAGCCCTTATTCTGCATGGGCATAGTTTTTAGAACTTATCAAAATATTTGAATAGCTGTAACTTCTTCCACATTTATAATTAGAGTACATTTGTGAGCTGCAAACACTGTTTTCTCTCTTCAAGCACACCAAGTATGCTCAGTGATAATTTACACCCAATATGCTAATCTTCATAGGACATCTGCATAGTCACAAAGAGCACACGGAAGACATTGCCCCCTCCAAAAAATCCATCAGACACAAACTTTCAGACATCACTCCAAAGAAGAAAACGTTTGGCCATCAAACATTTTCTATATACTACATTCTAGCTTTTATCCTTCACTGCTCTCTCCCAAGTTCTGTTGCTGGCCGAACACCACAATAATAGAAGATAAAGGTGTTTGCCTTCTACTGAGTCCCAATTTATAAGGATTTATTTTTGTGAATGTGTGACATGGGTATCTGCCTTTTTTCCCCAAACCTAATAGTAAGAGGGAGCTTACTGGTAGTCAAGTGATGTGATTGTGTAAATCCTTCCACAGATAGCAATGTCTAAATCTGGAGCAAACATTAAAAAATAACCAACTTTTTAAAGTAGGTTCCCAAAAAAACCCCAACTTTTTAAAGACACTGGAAGTTTACCAGACCACACACAAGTTGGAGGAGAGATTCCTCTTAAAAACTGCAAATGGAAGGGATCCATGAAGTTCAGTGAACCCCGGGCTGGATAAACAAAGTAGCTTTCAGGCATATATCATAGTCAAACTGCTGAAAGCCAAAGAAATCTTGAAAGCAGCCAGAGAAAAATGACACATCATATACAGGAGAACAACTATATAATTAGTGCATCTTTTCTGCTACAAAAGAATGAAACTAGAAATAAATCACAAGAAAAAAAAGGGGGAGAACACATGGAGGTTAAACAACATGATACTGAAAAACCATGGGTCAAGAAAGCAAAGAAGAAATCAACAAAAGATGTGGAGACAAATGAAAATGAAAACACAACATTCCCAAATATTGGGATGCAGCAAAGGCAGTTCTAAGAGGAAAATATATAACAATGCAGGCCTACCTCAAGAAACAAGAAAAAGCTCAAATAAACAATCTAACCTTACACCTAAAGGAACTAGAAAAAGAACAAAGCCCAAGGTATGTAGAAGGAAGGGAATAATTAAGATCAGAGCAGAAATAAATGATGGACTGAGAAAAATGTCAATGAAACCAAGAGCTAGTTCTTTGAAAAGATAAACATATGGCAACAAATTGAACAACCTTGAAGAAATGGATTAATTCCTAGAAACATACAATCTTCTGAAACTGAATCAAGAAGAAATAAAAAATCTGAACAGATTGATTACTAGTAATGAAATTTAATCAGTAATCAACACTAACATAAAAGTCCAGGAACAGACGGCTTTACAGGTAAATTCTACCGAACATTTAAAGAAGAGTTAACACCTATTCTCCTCAAACTATTCCAAAAAATAGAAGAGGAAGGAAAGGTTCCATATACATCTATGAAGCTAGCATTATCCTGATACCAAAACCAGACAAAGACACCACCAAAAAAGAAAACTGCAGGCTAATATTCCTGATGAACGTAGATGCAAAAATCCTCAACAAAATATTAGCAAACGGAATCCACCAATACATCAAATCAAGTGGGATTTATTCCAGGGATGGTTCAATATTCACAAATCAATGTAATACACCACATCAACAAAACAAGGGATACAAGTCATATGATCATCTCAATAGATGTAGAAAAAGCATCTGATAAAATTCAAAATCCATTCATGATAAAAACTCTCAACAAAGTAGGTTTAGAGGAAGCATACCTCACCACAATAAAGGCTGTATATGAAAAACCCACAGCTAACATCTTACTCGCTGGTGAAAAACAGAACTTTTCCCCTAAGATCGGGAACAAGACAAGGATGTCCACTGTCACCACTTTTATTCAACATAATACTGGAAGTCCCAGCCTCAGCAATCAGACAAGAAAAAGAAATACTCATTTTGTAAATATGTTAAACTCCCTATTTACAGATGACATGATACTATATGTAGAAAATCCTAAAGACTCCACAGAAAACTACTGGAAGTAATAAATGAAGTCAGTAAAGTCGCAGGATATAAAATTAATACTCAGAAATTAGTAGTATGTCTATACACTAACAACAAAACAGCAGAGAAATTAAGAAACTCCATTTACATGGGGTGCCTGGGTGGCTCAGTAGGTTAAGGTCATGATCCCAGGGTCCCTGCTCAGCGAGGAGTCTGCTCCTCCCTCTCCCTCTGCCCCTTATGCTTATGATGTCTCTTATGTGCTCTTTCTCTCTTTCAAATAAATAAATCTTAAAAAAAAACAAACCCAAAAGACTAGTTCAGTTAGTATACTGAAGTGTGCAGAGATGGCTGAGGAAGTCGGGTCCAGGCTACCGAAGGACGTTTCCTAACGTTGCTCATGTTGTTACCTCCGTCGGAATGCCATTCCTGACCTTATATGCTGTTCTTGTCTCCTGAGTCAGCCCATGTCAGCTGTTCTGTGAAAACTCCCCCGTGCCCCCCTCCCCATTTGTGCCCAGTACGCGTATCTGTCTCAGTCCAGTACTCACAACAGCACTCATAGTTGTTCTCAGACTATGCGTTCCTTCTCATACTTACCTTTGCTTCCCCAGCATCTCAGACTGTTCCTGCCTCCTAAATGTTTGTGGAACAAAAGAGTGAGTGAATAATACAATGAATCCAACTAAACCAGAGCTGCATAAGTCACAGGAGTAAGCACGTACCTTGGGGATGGTAAGAGTAGGTGCTCATAGTGCAAAAAAATAGAGACATATTTTTTTCGCTGCTTTTGTGTCCTTTAGGGCAATTCCAATGATGACAGTGACCCCGGTGAATGGTACCAGTGCACAAAGAAACTCTGCTGCCTTAAGTAGTAGGATCTGTGTTTTGAGCATTGGATTTGTAGGTGAACTAGATGTGGACTCAAAGGGACCAGGAGATGCTTACTAAACATCAAGGGAGAGATAGGCAGTTGGCGGTATGGATCTCAGCATGAGGTTCTGAGGTGAAGACAATTTGGAAGTCTTTTAAAAGTATAGGTAATGTTAGCTGTGGGGCTGGATGAGCTGAGAGAGTAAAGGGGGGCAGCAGGGGCCTAGGTTCTGACACACTTCAACATTTAGAAGAGAAGCACCTAGCAAAGGACAGAGGGGCAGCTATGAAGAGGTGAACAGGGAAAATTATATTCCAAACATAGAAGATTGGGGTGCCTGGGTGGCTCATCCAGTTAAGCGTCTGCCTTCGGCTTAGGTCATGATCCCAGGGTCCTGGGATCGAGCGCCGCATTGGGCTCCCTCCCTGCTCCACGGGAAGCCTGCTTCTCCCTCTGCCTGCCACTCCCCCAGCTTGTGCTCTGTCTCTCTGTCAAATAAATAAAATCTTAAACAACAACAACAACAACAACAACAAAACCCCCAAACAATAGAAGCTGATGGAAAGAGGCTTATAAAGCATGGGAGAGAATCTCAGACACCGAGAGGAAGATGTTTCAAGAAGGGTATGGTCAACTGTGTTCCATTCACGGTAAGGGCAGTGTAGTCCTGCATTCTACATGTTATTATGCTTTTAACAGGCTAAGCTATAAATAGGTTAAAATAAAATATCTTGTATTTAATGGAAATATTCATTTTTTCATCATTTATTTCATATGCTATGGTTATAAAAGAGTACAAATTAAGAATTTCAGGAATTAAAGTGTAGTCCCCATTGTTAACTTTATACAACATAAAGTCAGGAAGGAAGACACTGGATGCTAGTGCCTTCTGTTACTTTCTTTACATGTTGTTCAATCTCGTTGACAACCTGTGAGTTAGGTGAATGGGTTTCATTTTGTATGCTGCCTCCAGTGGATTGAATTGGTAAGGTCACCTATAAAGCTGTATATTGATTAAAATTCTGCTATGTCTGGATACAGCTAGAAAGCGGGCCGTGACCAATTATCCAGGATGGCCATGGCCAGGGGTGCAGGGAAATGGCAGATGTATCTCTAACTTAGGTTTATTTATCCTCATTTTACAAATGAGGAAACTAGAGCCCAGAAATAATTTCCCCAAGATCATACTGCTTGTAAGCAGTGAAGTGAAGATTTGAAAGCCTACGACTTTTCACAAATTGTTAATAGACCATTATGGATAGAGCAGCTTTGCTAGTGAACACAGAGAAACGAACTTCTGAACATCTTTGAAAAATTTAAAAGTAAATTCCCAATTCTTATTTGATAGTGTGTGAAATTTCCTTGTAAGATGAGACCAAAAAAAATAAATAAAATAAAAAATAAAGCCCCCGAGGAACAGAAAAAATTGTAATACTGATCTCCAAACCTCATAGCTTAGTTTATTCTTTCTTTTATCTTCAAACATGCACAGATAAATGAGGCCTAGAAATATTAATTATTATACTATTATATAAAAATTATGCAGCTATTAAAATGAAAATATAGATTATATTTATTGACAAGGAGAAGGACATTCAAAATACATTGTTAGGTGAAAAAGGATATTAAAAAACAGTGTGGTCCTACATTGAAAAAATGTATACACACACATATATACATACACACACACATATATATATATAGATATATATCTAATTTTTTGCATGGAGCAGTACATGGAAGAATATACTTTAAAATAATAACCAGATTTATATCTGATAGCAGAATTTGGTGATCCTATTTTTGTTTATTTTCTAACTTTTTTCCATGTTCATGTAGCTTTGGAATAATTTTTTTTTATTATGTTAGTCACCATATATTACATCATATATTTTTGATGTAGTGTTCCATGATTCACTGTTTGCGTATAACACCCAGTGCTCCATTCAGTACATGCCCCCTTTAATACCCATCACCAGGCTAACCCATCCCCCCCTCCCCTCTTTGGAATAATTTTTAAAAATAAAGGAAAACATTTTAAAAGTGTTATTGACAGTCAATGGTAGCAAGGAGGGGGCAAAAAGAAATTTTGTTTTTCACATAAATGTAAAAATGACTACTGCTATCCTTTAAACGCTAAAAGGACAGATACTATTAAAATATAAGTATAGAAATATATTATTAAAATATAAATAATTTTAATTCTATTGAATAATCCATTAACAATGAGATCTTAAACACTGTGAACAAAACAGTAACTTACAGCGTCTGTAGGTGTCCCCAGCCCGTCATAATACATTACTCCTAGCTGGTAAGTTGCTTGATGGTCTTTTTCCTTGATTTCTTCAAACTGTTCTAATGCTTCTTCATACCATCCCTAAAAGCTCCCAGGAAATATTGAATTATTTTTATTATTACCTCAAAGTAATCCCAAATACTTAATTCCCACCTAAATCTAGCTAGGAGCACCAAATATAACAAGAGACAACAAATTTATGGAATTTGCAAGTATGGCATTGACAACAGTCAACATACTATAAAATCAATAAAATAGACCTGAATATGGCAACTGAAGGAAGTGACCAGGAAAAATATGGGTGAGACTCTCTTTTGCTTTCACTCGTACTTTTGGATATTGCCAAACTTCTCCTAAAATGATAGCCCAGCCTTCTGCTCAATCCATCCTGCTATATCCCCCAGCCACTCCTGGAGTTTGGGACACTTCAGAGTTGGGGCCAGAGCATCAGAGAAAATGTGGACATCAGGATATCCACTATTATTAAATATCCACTATTATGATGGCTCATGTCCTCCAGGGTTGCAGTTCTCCAGCTAGGGAGAAGACATGGAAAAACAAATGTGATTCTCTAAAATTATCTTTCTCCCCTACTTCCTATAGAAACCTACATATTTTAAGGCTCCTTAGCAGTTCTATGATCTGATGCTAAGGTGTGAAGGACTAATGGGGCTTATATCTTAATCCACCAGGGAAAATGCCTTGCACTGAAGACTGAATCCTTTGTAATCGTGGAAAGAAAGTCTGTTACTAAACTGGAAGGTTATTAGTTAGGAAGAGCAGACCAGAGAAAAACAACTTCTGGAAGACACAAAAGCACCCGAATTCCTTTTTTCATAAACTATAATGAATCAACAAATTGATAAAACTAATAAAAACTGCACCAAAATACTAAGAAATATTAATTTTAAAGAACACATAATAATGAGTTAATGACCTAGCTGTTAAGTAAGACTCATTCTCCTTTCTGGCTAATGTTTGGCTAGATGTGAGAGAGCTGGAAAAGTTAGAATACGCTGTAGGAAGGAAGAGAAAGGAGGTCCTGTTAGTTTTCATGATTTTCAATACAATCTACATGCTGGAAAATCTCAAATACATACTTTCAACCCAGACTTCTCTTTGGAGATCTAGACTCTTAACGGCTAAGTTTCTACTTTGAAACCTGTCTACTTGGATGACTAATGGACATCCGAAACACAATGTGTATAAAACCTGAACTCTTGATTGTCCTCTCAAAATTCACCCTCCCCACTCCTCTATTTTTCAGTCCACGATGCTCTCATTTGCGTCTCCAAAATAAATCCAGGACCAGCTTCCACTGCTGCCACTCTGGTCAACACCAGCAAGCATCCTCTCTTGCCTGAAGTAGTATGATTTCTCCCCTAAACTGGTCTTGGTTCCATGCTTGCCTTCTAATCTGTTCATCACGGACTCAAAACCCTTGAATGTCTTCTTACTACAATTTAAATAAAGCTCATCTAAAGCCATTCTCTGCCTTGCTTATTACCACATTGGTCTCAATTCCTAGAGCTCACAGAACTCCCCCTCATCTCTGAAACATTGCATTTTCTCCCCCTGCCTGGCATGCACTTACACCGGGCTGTGTGCCCTGCTCGTTGCCTTTTGAAGAAACTGAGACTCTAAGAGTTGAAGTCTTTGTGTCCAAGGCTACACAGTTAACAAGTCGTAGGAATCATACCTGACCCGATGCCCAAAGCTGAGAGATCATTCTCTTAACCTATGCTAGCCTCATGGTGACAGGTGCATGATGAGTCCTCAACAAATATTTGTTGCCAGAAGAAATGATGGCGCCATCAGATTTAAGAGCAAGTGGGATATAGGTTAATAGCTGCCCAAATAGTGAGTGGTGAAGGGATTGGGGACAGTTGGTCCATTTTCACATCTGCCCGTGGGGGTCAATGAAGGACTGCTGCTATATATATTATATGCTTTGCACAGTTTCTCCTACATCTGCCCCTCAGGATGCCTCAGCATAATGTGGAGAAAGAGGGAAGCTCCCTCCTACCTCTAGAGAGGAACATATAAAGCCTCTAAGTACTAGGTAAGAATCAGGGTCTTTAGTTGTTATTCATATGAAAAAATTTTATAAATGATATTATTTGGGGCAAAAATATAAAAATTATATTATATATATAAGTGTACATTATATTTTTAATTTCTAGTATGAGAATGGATTATATGCCAGAATGACTCCTATAAATGACTCCTTAGAACGACTTTTATGGAGGAAGGTCAAATATCTCCTTAATCTTGTACTTAAAGCCACAACCAAAGCCTAGGGAATTTACCAGAATTCCCTCTGCATAACAATGTAAGGAACTCTATGGGAAATTTTGCTATGAGAATCCAACAACAGCATTATCTGATATGAAAAACAGGAAAAATGAAGTAAGATAAAAACAGAGAGGGAGGCAAACCGAGACTCTTAACTCTAGGGAACAAACTGAGGGTTACTGGAGGGGAAGGGGGTAATTGAGCGATGGGCATTAAGGAGGGCACTTGATGTAATGAGTATTGGGTGTTCTATGCAACTGATGAATCACTAAATTGTACCCCTGAAACTAATAATACACTATATGTTAATTAAATTGAATTTAAATAAAAATTTTTAAAAGAAAACAAGCAGGAAATGATACCTCTTCAAAATATAGTTGGCCTCGGAGGAAATATGCCATAGCATCCCCTCTTCTTATTCTTTCCTTCAAGAACTGCAATGCCTTATCCACCAAATTCGCATGGCTGTAACGATCTGGTTTTTTAAAAGGTAAAGAATTCCATCTTTATTCATACGATACGAATTTCCTCTCTTGAAGTCATGAGTTATATAGAACTCATCTGGCTCTGTTTATACTAGTTTCCTTCCTAGTTCTCATTCATAAAACTGGCCTCCTTAGCTCAAGGGAAAAACATGATCACTGCACCTAACACCGTGCCTTGTATAATCATAAAATATATGTTGATTGGTTCCCAAACCAACCCTGTTTACTACGAGGCAGGAGCTCTAGCAATGCAGTCTGTGTGTAGTTCTTTATGCAAAGCTACCCTGTGGATTAGTGAAATTCTTAATTTGAGCTTTAATTAGAACTACTCCAACCAAATGAGCTAGTAACCATTCCCAATTTAGTATTAGTAAGTCTACAGAAACAAAAGGGTAGCTTTAAATGCCAATTTGAAGTAAAGTATGGCATTGTTTTCTTTAATAGAAATGACATCTGGCTTCTCTTTTCCAGAAGGGTGTCCTAAAGTCCTAAGAGTAAAACCAGGATTGGAATCTAATGATGAGACTTCTCCACTGATGATTTGCTACCAGACGAGCAGCAATTTCTCAGATTCTTACAGGAAAGCTAAAAAGGACTGTAAAGTTAACCACTTCCTCGACAGCAGTTCAGACTCCTATTTCTTGTCTTTTTTTCTCTGGTGTACAGAATTGACTTTTAGTGAGAATATTATCAGAATTTGTACCAGTCTTTTCCTTCCTCCATTGGAAGAATTTTGGGTTCTTAGCACCATACTGGAATAGAGAGGTATAAAAGGGGTTCTTGGGCAACTTCTCACTGGTCAACTTCATCCTGTTTCCACAATGTGTATTCTGTAAACATGAATAAAAAACAAGATAGTAGAAATGTCTTCCTCCAGAAAAAATGCAAAAAGACTCCATTCTCCCTTGGCACTCGTTATAAAAAGCAACCTCCCCGCATTTGCCTAGGGATAGGGCAGCAAACTACCAGCTCTGGGATGTGCACATTCTTTCTGAGGAAACCAGGGCCATCCATAGCTACGAGAGGCACAGCATCCTCCGTGTCTGCTTCCACAGCATGGGATGAATGATGAGAGCCATTTGCAAGTCCTCTCTGGCTGTGAGTTCACATCTGCAGTGACTTATGTCACCTACCACACCTGCCACTAGCAGGAATTGGGGACCCTGCTCATAGAGTTCTTGTGCACTGGTACTTTGCCTTGTAACTGAAGCTCATGACACTCATTCATTTCAGATTAAAGCATCTGTCTCTTTTACCTGCGAATACACTTTATTTTAGTTGTGTTGTTCAGTTTTATCTTCCCGTCTGTATTGTTTTGCCATGTTATAAGATGGATCACAGTTGAATGGGAAATCAAAGCCTTCATATAAAATGTAGAGGCCACCTCATTTGGGATGAAGGAGTCCAGGGTGGCCCAGGCTGAGAGTAGTGAGACAGCAAACTCAGTTGTTGCTATGCTTGTTTGTTTACTCCTTGGCATTCTACTGTTACAGCTGACTTTAACCAATCAGGAACAAGCTTCCAGTAAAGGTTCCTGATTGGTGGTGAGGAGAAGAACTCAGGAGTTCTTCAGTGTGATTGGAAAGCTGCACTTATACTATTATGTGAAACTATTTTGGACAATGGCTTCATTAAGAAGAATGAAGTGCAGAAAAGGGAAATAATTCAGTATATCAGGGAGAGAAAAAAGAAAAACAAACCACTGCAGTATCTTTGTCATTTTGGAAGAACCATTTAATCTTTTAAAAAGTCAGCTTCCTCATCTCTAGTTTGGACTAGAAGTAGTTTGAACTAGAGGATTTCCAGTGTCTGTTGCTAGATATATAAAATTTTTTGATTAACATCCATTGCCTGCCATTTAATGTTTAAAAGGTACATTACCTTTAAGTCTCCAGTAGGCTCCTCATTTAGTCTTCCTCCTCCCCCCTCCCTTTCAGCTGCCCTACCCAAACACTCCCTATTCTCCCCGTAAGCTCCTTTTTCATGTTTCTTAGCTATTCATGTTTTCTCTTCTGTTAAGTATCTGCCTTTGTGACATTTGTCTTGTTGAGTTGTAGTCCTTCATATGTCAGGCGTGTCTCTTATAAATAGGCTTCATATAGATTTGTTGATTCTTTTTTTTTTTTTTTTAAACATTTTATTTATTTATTTGACAGCGAGAGACACAGCAAGAGAGGGAACACAAGCAGGGGGAGTGGGAGAGGGAGAAGCAGGCTCCCCGCAGAGCAAGGAGCCCGACGCGGGGCTTGATCCCAGGACCCTGGGATCATGACCTGAGCCGAAGGCAGACGCTTAACGACTGAGCCACCCAGGCGCCCCCTGTTGATTCATTTTTATACCCAGGCTGATCATCTTTGATTATTACTGGTACATTTCGCTGTTTTACATTTATTTTAATCACTATTGAATTGGAATTATTTTGTACTTTCAGTCCATTTGCTTTATTCATGCTATTTTTTCTCTTTTATTGCCTGCTGTTGGATTTATTGAATTGACTAGGTATTTATTTTGCTTTGGGGATGTTGAATTTCCTGAGTCGTGGGTTGGTGTTTTGCTGCTGTAATAAATTACCATGAACTTCGTGGCTTAAAACAACAAAAACGTAGTCTTTCATAGTTCTGGAGGCTAGAAGTCCAAAATCAAGGTGTTGTCAGAGCCACGGTCCCTCTGGTTCTAGGGAGGAAACCATCCCAGGTTTCTTTCCTAGCTTCTGGTGGTCGCTGGCAATCTTTGGGGATCCTAGGCTCGTAGGCTGTGTCACTCCAATCTCGGTCTCTGTCTTCACATGGCCTTCTTTCTGTGTATCCTCTATCCCTGTGTGTCCTCTGCTTATAAGGACACCAGCCCCTGGATTTGGGGCCCACCCTAATCCAGTATGACCTCAACTTCACCTGATTTTTTGTAAAGATCTTATTTTCAAATAAGGTTACATTCATAGGAATCAGGTTTTAGGACTTTGAATATATCTTTTTGGAGACCACAGTTGAGCCCACTACATTTTCAAGTACGGCTTCTGCCCCATTCTATCCCTCTTCTCTTTCTGGCATTCCAATTAGACCTTCCTCCTGTGTCTCTTATTCTGTTTTTCACATTTCCCATCTGTTTATCCCTTTTTGCCACATTCCAAGTAATCTCTTCAGCACTCTCTCCCATTTTATTAATCCTTTCTTTAGCCATGTCTGGTCTGCTGTTAATATCTAGAATTTTAATATTAAATATTTAAAAACTTTTTATTGAAGTGAATATAAATACAGAAATGTATATGTAAGTTTACAGCTTGATGAATTTTCACTCAGAACAAGAGAGAGAAAATTACCAGCAGCCCAGAAGCCTCCCTAGTACTCCCTTCTAGTTACTACATAAACCTACATGTAAATACAATATTGCAGAAGTGATTTTTGCATGCCTTTGTATACCATATGAATGGAATCAGGCACTCTGTATTATTTTGTGTCTGGCTTCTCTTGTTCAACATTGTTTGAGGATTCATCCGTTTTGTTGTGTTGGTTGTAGCTTTCTACTTCTTGTTGCTGTATAGTATTACATTGTGTGAATATACCATAATCTATCTCTTGTAATTGATGGACATTTGGGTAGTTTCTGTCTTGGACTTTTGAGAACAGTTCTGCTATGAACATTCTTGTACCTGTTTTTTCCCTAAACATTTATATGCATTTCTCTGGGGTATAAACATAGGCGTAGTAATTCCTATGTCGATGGGTATGCACGTTCAGCTTTAGTAGATACTTCCAAAAAGTTTCCAAGTGCTTGTGTACAAATTACTTTTCAAAATTAAGTGCTTGTTTTGAATCTCTGGTAGTTTAGGTAATTTATGGTAAGATTGCTTGGTTCATTTGAGTTTTCAATTGAAATCACCCATTCAGTTAGGCCAATTTATCCGAAGTCCTGCTAGAAAGTTTTTAGTGTGGTCTTGACTCCGACAAGTATGAGACAGCCTTCAGTTCGGGACTTGTTCACCTAGTATAGCTGAAACTTTGTACCTTTGCCATTATCCCCACTCCAGCCCCTGGTAACTGCCATTCTACTTTCTGCTTCTGTGAGTTTGACTATTTTAGATCCCTTATGTAAGTGGGATCATGTTATGTTTGTCCTTCTGCATCTGGCTTATTCCACTTAGCATAATGTCCTCCACGTTCATCCATGTTGCACAATTGGCAGGATTTCCTCCTTTTCAAAGACTGAATGATATCCCACTATATGTAAGTACCACATTTTCTTTATTCATCTGTCAATGGACATTTAGTTTGCTTCAATGTCTTGGCTTTTGTGAGTAATGCTGCAGTGAACATGGAAGTGCAAATCTTTTTTTGAGATTCTAATTTCAATTCAAAATATTCAGAAGTAGGTTAGCTGGATTATATGGTAGTTCTATTTTTAATTTTCTGAGGAACCTCCATAGTGTTTTCCATAGTGGCTGCACCAGCTTACATTCCCACCAACAGTGCACCACAGTTCCCTTTTTTCCACATCCTCACCAACACTTGTTGTCTTTTGTTTTTATGATAAAGACTGTTCTAATGGATATGAGGTTTTCTCATTGTGGTTTTGATTTGTCTTTCCCTGATGATGAGTGATGTTGAATACCTTTTGGCCATATGTATATCTTTCTGAGAAATGTCTATTCAGGTCCTTTGCCCATTTGTATTTAATTATTTTTTACATTTTAATTCCAGTATAGCTAACATACAGTGTTATATTAGTTTCAGGTGTAATACAATGATTCAACAATTCTGTACATTCCTCAGTGCTCATCATGATAAGTTGTACTCTTAATTCTCCTTTGCCCATTTTTAAATAGGGTTATTTTCTTATTTTTTGCTATTGAGTTATACAAATTGAAGTCCACTTTTTTTTCTTTTCTTGTTTGTGGTTTAGGTGTATTAGCTAAGATAAGAAAACCATTGCCTACGCCAAGGTCACAAAGATTTACCCCTTTGTCTTCTTCTAAAAGTTTTATTGTTTCAGCTATAGGTTTTTGCTCCATTTGAGTTATTTTGGTATACAATGTGAGAAAGGGGTTCAAATTAAGTCTTTTGCATGTGGATATCCATTTATCCCAGTACCATTTGTTTAAAAGACTATTATTCCCCCAGCTTCTGTTTATACTTTTAACTAAGTAGTTCTGTTTTGAAGTATGTGTATTAAATCTTTTACAGGCAACTTGGCCTTTAAATTTTGTGTTGTAAACAATCTAGTTATTTTGAAAGGTAGAAACTTATTTAGAGATAGAGTTAGAAATGAATTTCTACTTTAAGTGGAAAATCAAATGTATTAAATTAAGAGTGGAAACTTCTATTGGTATATGGAAAGTAGTTTCCATTTACAACTTCTATTTGTATATTGTCAGTAACGGGTAAAATAGGTAACTACTAAATTTGCAAATATTTTAACAATACAACTAAAATATTAAAAATTATTTTAATTTTGTTTAGGTGAAGGTGGCCTTTATATACTGAAATAGAGGGTATCTGCCATTATGTACATACCTCATTAAGCAAAAAGTGGTTTCATTTCATTTAGGAACTTGGCTTCAGAAATGGTAAAGAACATGGCGGCTATATTTTCCTCATCCTCTTTGTATGATAGAAAATTAGAGAGCATGTTAAGTGGTTAATATCGATAAGTGGGAAAAATTTACTATCCAATATGGTCAGTAAGGTATCAGAAGATCTGGTGTGAGGAGCTTAGGAGAGGAACCAGGCTATTGGGGTTGCAGAGAATAAATGTGAGCCTCAGCCATGCTGGAGGTGTCCCCCATCTCTGATAATGCACAGCCTGGACTCCAACAAGCTGAAGGATACAATTAGAG